CTTTTTATTGAGATCGCTACTAAAGTCTGTAGATGACTTTAGTAAGAAGATCAACAGACATGCTAAGGAATATGCAGTTCACACTGAAAATAACTAGTTAAAGCGTTCTTTCTTAAAATATAATAATATAAAAATAATATAAAAAAGTAAGATTGTGAACGAAGGCTATAGCAGGCTTTCAAGCTCTTGAGCCAATGCGGCCTTTCTTTCGTAATTGTCTAAGCCCTACAATCGTTCCTTTTATACTAATTACAGAAAACATATATCGATTAGTGTATTTATATCATGCTAACGTTTTTGCAATTTTTGGTACCTTAGGGTTCACAACCGGGTCTCCTGAACTATACCTTACGTTTCAATGACACGAGATACAACTTTCATACTTCCAAATTATTCGCGGTATCTCCTGAGCCGAGATCTAGGAACATCCCGATTGAGGTGCGGTTGTAGTGAACTGTGGAATGTGGGTACTAGGCAACAGGCCTAGTTTATCATAGTTCAATGAGGAGTACTATAATTGTAATTAATATTATGAAGTGGCCTATCAATAATCCAGTTATTGCTTTTTAATATTGCTATTTAAAAAAATAATGCATTTACGATAATCCGAGGTCGGAGGGAGTGCTCTGAAGTTCGACGTCGCGTTGTGTCCTGTCTGCATGAGTCTTACTAACTCTGCTGTTAACAGGGCCCATGCCGTACCAGTAAACTTATTTTTAAGTTAAACGAAAAAAATTTTTTAGGAGAATACAAAATATCTTAAAAGAACTCATAAATATTGAGAAACCTGCATTGATTGATTAAGGATGCAGTGCTTGTAAGATTTTTTCATGTGTATAAATTGAGACGCAAAATAATTTTGACATGTTTCAATACGCTAAGTACATGTTCCTTTACAATATTCAGTACTACTGCTTTATTATGTTAGTTATACTTAATGCATAGGCATTCCCTTTAGGGGATACTTTAATAGGGAACTATTAAAATTCATCTATTTTTAGGTTAGATTACCCCAACTTCACGGTTGTCGTATCTCTCGGTGGTTATCGTAAATGTATTGTTACTTTTAAAAATAGTTTGAATAAAGGGCAATAACTGAACGTATCAATAAGGCAGTCAGTGACCTCACAATAGAATGAATGATAAAAGCCAACGGTAACTATTAGCGGTACATGCAGCTCATTCATGAGATTTCTATAACGTCTCCTGTGTGCGCTTTGACCGCGTAGATACGCACCCCTGTAGAAATGAAGCATCTTTTTTGCACGAGTATTTGGCAAAAGTCTGATCATTCAAATTTATATACCATTAAAATTAATTTCAGTACACTTTGCCTCTAAAACATATATGAAATTAATTGTTTTTCTACCTCGGAGCTAGTTTGCTCGTTGTTTTCTGTAATTAAAACAGTTCTTACGTGAGCAAAGCAGAGGCGTTTTCTTACCTAATACTTAAGACAATCTAACTAGATAATTAGTCACTTCTGGGCTTTCCACACTTTCGCGTCGACTAACTGCCATAGTAGACTGTGGTAAAGCGATTTGGCTAGATTCTAAAAGTCCCAGATAGCGTCATCATATCGGTGGAAAAATCGGATCGTTAGGAGCGTTGATATTGTAAATTCGGCAAAGCGATTATATATATATATAATATATATATATAACTACAAGAAAGGCAGCTAATTAGAAATAATTTATGGTTTGACTGCTTTTTTTAGGAATCCGAGATTTTGTGGCCATGTATAAATGCCCTTTTCGTAAATCATCTAAAATTTCACGGCCTACTAACAGACGATAACGTTTCGATATCGATTCCGAAGATGAAGTTTTTCCCCACCCAGAAGTAAGCAAAGCGTTTTTTCTGTAGCATTTCTGTTATTTTTATATATGTATCGATGTACATATTATCTAGTTTCTAGGGCTTAGTGATTATGAAAGTTATTCGAAATTTTGCGCAGCACCAGAAAGAAGCTGTTGCCACTTTGCCACAGAGGGTCCTCCGCCTGTCTAAATCAGCGGAGATCGTTGTTCCTCAATACACACTGGTTCTGCTATTCTCTACCGTAACCACGAATAATACCACAATCGATAATAAGATCTCTGAGGATCCTCAGCATGCAGAAACGAATAGGGTGACTACTTTTCAACCTAGTGCGGCGTTCATAGAATCTGTATACGACAGCTGACTCCACACGCTGCATATCATCTGCAACGGGCAATGATGACCCTATCGCAGCAACTTGTCGCATACGTATAAATACCACCACCATAAAGCGGAGATAAACTTTGAAAAAATTTTGAATCATTGACATAATCGACTATTCTTGACTTGAAGCTGGCTAGGCGATGCTTGCCAGAACTGTGTCGGTACCACATCTCATAGCTGACCTCCAGCATAAAATGCGTCTGTTATAAAATGCCCCCATGTTGGCAGATACACTACCGCTATATCATCGCCGGAAACGACTATTTCAGTAACTAGTGTGTTGTAGAACCATCGCAGGTAACCTTTAATGTGTATCCTTCTGGCCAAATAATGGGGAAAGCTATTAGCAACACTTTCCCGTTTCACCCCTGCGTGCGCTCCCGTATCCTGTATTGGCTACGTATACACCTTAACTAGGCCAGGGAACCTACCCGTTCCTTGTGTTCTCCGACCGCGTCCGTATCTTTATTCACTTCTATGTAGTGTACAAATTCTGCCTGTTCTCAAGGCGTTAATGAATAGCTCCTCTCACCTGTTCTGAGCTAGTTCAATTGATGACATTTGCTTTCTTTCAGATACTTTGTTCCTTCGGGTCCTTTTGAGCCTTCGAAAGTCGTGCCGTTTATACTCTCGTTGATCTGCGTCCTTCCTTTACTCTTCTTTGCCAGTAAGACAATACGAGATAAAGAAAACCGCATGAAGGTGAGAGGCAACAGAAAAGTATGAATAAATGACTGAAACTGGTTTTTCTCAATACATACGCCAAATAACATTATACGTACAAACAGTACAAACATTTTTCTCTAACCTTCAACCGATGCTCATGTGATAAGTGAAGGCTCCACGTCCTTCGTACGATTATCTTCGATCGTTTGAAACTGATTTGTAAAGAGGTTTTACATGAGACAAATATGGCAAGTAGCTGTAACTTTATGAATGTTGTGTAAACATCCAGCTAATCACTTATTCAATTCACCAAGCATAAGTCAGGGGTGGAAGTGCGAAAAAAACTGCAGTTTCATTTTGATACTAGAATACAATGATTAGAAATAGGAAAGGGTTCCGAGACACCATCAACATATATTTACTTTTTTTTGTCTTTCTTTTCAATCTATTAAATTAATAGATGTCAGGGCTGCTTTGACAATGTAAGATTCTGAATTGTATGTCATTTAGCTTATAGAAACACACCCGAATGCGTAATCAACTTGAGGAAAAAATCTATACATTTTCAATCGGCTCGGTTTCTCACATTCGATCTAGAAGAGCCTTAATTTCTATTCAGCTTGTCTCTCTTTATGACTGAATGGTCAGGTGAGGCTTCCAATATAAATACGGCGAACTGTATTATAGACATCTCAGAATTCTATGAATTTAGCATTACCGAAATTATGTCTTGCCTGCGTTTTCCATTCTATCCTTAGGAAAAGATTTCGGCCAAACTGTTTTTTCCTTTGTTTACATTACAGTATCCGCATCCGGTTCGAAAGACAACAATGGAGTCACAAAAAACTTCACGGTTACTGTGGTATTGTTGAGGACATCCGTAACTGATACGCGCAGTATTTACATGCCTGTCGTTCATTTTGAGCGTAAAACGCACAGGTCTTCTATATGGTGAATAAATGAAGAGTTGTCAGACTTTCTCTCTCTGAAAAGTTTTCTAGAATGAAAGGCAGAACATTCAGTGATATCGGATCTGTTACCCTTAGTCAATGTTTTCCTGTTTTCAATATAGTTCACCCTTGCTATAGCGAGCTTGTCAAATGCAGCATTACTCCATGCCTCCGATTGAATGAAAAAGGCTTGACATTCTTTTGCTTGAGCTTCTGTGTAATGCAGGATGCGGAGAGAAGGTTCTACTACCGAAGAGCCCACAAGATGGATGATTGTCGAGAGGTTTGGCCGAGTATATATTTTTCGATTTCTGAGGATGATCTACATGATTCTGCGGAGGGTAGGTCCGTTTCAATAGTGACCTGAAAGAAACAAACAGCATGTACAATTGACGTCGTTTGTACGGGACGGATCTGTTTCTCAGCGGAGGTTAATCGTGGGCTGAGATAGTTTTTGCGCATATGTTTATTCTTGTCGTACACTCAACAGCGCCAATTACTTAAGTGTTATCATTATTACTAGTTATTTATTTATAATATTTTACATTGATTACTATGGTTACCTTGGCTTTAACTGAAAGTCTGCGCTGCAACTTGAGGCCGAGATGGAACGACTGCAGACAAAGAAAGAACTTTTACGCAGTCTAAACGGCAATCATCATTTCACTATCCTCGCATTGATGAAAATCGTTGTCTTATATCATTATTGCCAGCCGGCCCTTCCCCATATTAATTTTGTTGTACTGTTCAAAATAATGGATATTGCGGAAATAGTTGTTTCTCTCAATGTTGGCTTTTATAACGTACTTGTTATGTTTGGGCTACTTCTAGGAACTTCTACGCATGATGGGTTTACCAGATTTTATTTATTGGCTCAACCTCTTCCTTGTTGGGTTTACCACAACGGCTGTACTCATGGTCATGGCCTGGGTACGTTGATATCATATTAAGTTAATCTACAGGGTGGATCCGACAGTCGTTTTTGTTTTATCGCCTATGGTAAAATGTTAACACCGTTCATTGTTCAAATAAAAATGTTATGATAAAAAATATTACAGTGAGATATTATAAGCTGATACCAAAAATCAGTTTCTCACAGATCGTCGTTAAGCACATGATAGTAGTCAATGTTCTCAATGTAGTACTGCTATTACTTTTCTTTACCGTTAGCGGGATTGAATTGTCTATGCGCTGCAAATGTATATTTATACAAGACATTTAGTATTGTGTAGATATACAATTAGGTTTAAAGACAAGCACCATTAGTTACAAAATGGGTACCTTCCCTTCACATACAAAAGCATCGAATACGGAGCGTGCGACTTCGGCGGAGTAGTCGGCTGGGTGGTTGCCCTAGACAAGCGAAATGAAGAAAGTGTTAGCTCAGACTTTAAACATAATCCATAGCCCGCTACTCGGACACCGGCTATATAGGAAGCCGCCATTTTTGCTTCTGAGTATTCCATTAATCCGCCGAAATAACTTTTTTTTTTTATCGTTATCTCTCTTAAAGCTAGCATTACAATAGGGTGGATGCCCTGTTAAGCAATGCCTAGCGGCAGTACCCGACGTATATCTCGAAAGTTTTTCTTGCTTTCTCCTTACCTTTCTTCTTTTTCTTCCTCTATCTCCAAGCTCGAATAGAGCTTAGCCTATTCAGAGAGCGTAAGCCAGAGGACAAAAGCTCATGGAATGTCCATCGAGATCACGTTAAGCCATGAGCGATGACCAGAGAAGGCTGCGGCCGCGGATGGGGCGTGATTGCATTGTAGCCCTGTCATTTCAACAGAACTGTGAACTCATTTAATTAAATAAAATTATTTTAAGTCGTTCGGATCATACAGATGCTCGTTTAGTTAAACGCTATGCGCATCTTTAGATTAACGGACTTTGTACAACTAAAGCAAGACAATGCCACATGACGACAAAGCTTTGAACCTTCTGAGTTTTATGTGGGGTACTACTGTTAAACGTTGCTCCGCATAAACAGTATGAACTGTTTATGCCCAAATTCGTGCTCTTATTTTAGCAGACGAATACGTTAGCACTGAATCATGTCATAGGCACAGGCGTTAACACTTGTCCTAGGGCGGCAGCCTCTATTATTTACAAATACTGTTTTTTTTACTAGGTGTTTATTTTGTTCCTTAGAATTGTCGCCAACTAACTACTAACCATTGTGACTTTTACATTTTCGTCTGCTATGCTTAGGTACTCTTCTGCTTCCCTGTTTTCGGCCCACACATGTACGCATCGTCCGATCCGTCGCTTATTCTTATAATCTTCATGCTGTTTGCCGCGGCTGAAGTTTTGCAGATTCTTCTAATCACTGTTATCTTCAACTCGGGTGAGTGTAAACCTTAACTCTACGACCTTCGCTAACGAAGGGTGTCGATGGCCCACATGATGGACTTCGCAATTTACTTTGGTAATTGTTTCTATCTTATATATAACTTCTAATGGAACCCATCAATGTACAGCAATGTTCGGCGGGATTACTATCCTGGGGATATTTGTCCTGTCATTGACCTCTATTCAAAAAATCGTCATGAGACAAAACGACGATTCTGCAGGAGTGACACTAATGCACCTCAGTTCATCGATATTTCCTGTCACTTGGTTTTACGCTATCGGCAATATAATCACATATCGAGAGGTTACAAGTAAGTGTTCAGTCTTTGTTCCACTTAGTAGCTAATATATAATAATTTTCTCCAAGGAACCCCCAGCACGAAAATCCGCATTTTTGCTTAACTGCATGGAATTGCGTCCTGAGAGATTCAAGTAACTAAGTACATAGGTTGCTGCTGCTATTATAGTTCTTCATGTTTTTACTGCGTAGAACTGCAATGAGGAGATCTTGATGTAAGAACTAAATAAAAAAGTAAATAAAATGATTATAATATGTACAAAAAATAGTCCACACGTTATGCGACTACGGCTTCTTAACAACAATACAACGCAATCTGCGAGAAATCTATAGATCTCTCATTGTGGTCCTGTATTGATGATGATTGGAATACTTGTAGCAGTACTCAGTAGAATACTCGGAAAGTATCTATCCAGCCAGCTTAGTGTGGCCCATAACTTATTGGTGGAACAGAAGGCTGGAACTATTTGAGCGTTTGAATAAACGACGTTTTCCTTTTCGAGGTTCAATGGGACACTCACGCCATTTTTATATATTTTCGATTAAACTATTAAAGAACAGCCTGAGCTTCATTCTCGATTTATTCGACTGGATTGCTAGGTTTTTCTAATGTACGAAAACAGTGTTTCTTGCTTGATTATATTGAATGGCCTCGTCGTTCACCTGACAAATAGGTGACAAATAGTAGGTGATCTTTGTCAAGATTACCTATTTGACAAAGTTAGAATTCACCATTTTATGTAATTCGCGTTCATTTTGCCTAACGTCCTATTCTAATTTTATTACCATGTTAGGTAATTGAATGAATTCGTTCAACGATCGTACGAGCCTACGGTAAATTGTGTATTGAAAATCTGCATCAGTGTAACGATTTGTTACTTCAAACAGGTTGAAGGTTTTTGATTTTGGACCAATATCGCGTTGTCTAGGAGCATGTCTGTTAAGAACATTAATTTTGCAAATCAGCGGTGGTAAGTTATAGGCCCAGCCGTGTAAACAGACGATTCCCTAGCACTGATTTTATTTCAAAGAATAGAGAAGTAGGTTTGTATGGTGCCTAAGGAAGGCGTAAGTGTTAGGCAAAAGATTCAGTATCGACAAATTGTACGTAAAACAGGTAATTGATCCTGTTAGTGTGTATTTTAATCGATCCAGCCCGAACCTTTGAAACGTCCGGAATCCACAAACGGCTGTCGAATGTGATCCACCGTAAGCTTGCAGGCGATATCTGAATGGGAGAAGTTTTAATGATGGCAGATGACGAAGATTTAAAAAAAAATTTTCGACTTCAGGATTCGTGAAGTGAATGATGTGAGCAATACTATCAGGAGGCTTTTTAAATTGGAGTCGGAAATGTTTTTTCTTTTAAACTGACTACACGATGTAGATAATGATATACTTACCGTACATAATCCACAGTCCCCTAATTGAGGATCATTTCGTGAGAAAGCCAGTTTACTGGAAATTGTTTAGGCCTGGTGAGCTACCCAGGCCTGAGTCGGACGATATGTCTGGTCATATCCTATGGACAGCTGCGATATATTGTAAACCGCAAATTAATTATTTCTACTTTCTGTATCCTATCTATTATCTCATTCTAGACGTCGGTGTTCAGTGGACCAATATAGCCAAGCTGGCGAGCCCAGGAGACAGTGTCTCGTTGCTAGCGATGTTAATAGCAATAGTACTGTCCTGCGTATTGTATATGTTTTTAATCTTCTACCTCGATGCTGTTAACCCATGGCAACCGGGCATACCCAAGCCCTTATTTTTTCTATGTCAGTCTGGACCTTGCTATACATTGGCAAATGAAGAATCCAGTTCTAGTCAGCGTTTCATTACAAAGTATAGCGATGTGCCTTCCTATTTGATTGAAAAGCCACCTGCTGGTACAAAAAACCCAGCGATCGAGATTTGCGATGTCACTTATAGGTGCGATAATAAAAAAGTTCTCAGTAATCTTTCTCTTGAGTTTTATCAGAAAGAGATCTCTGTACTGCTCGGTCACAACGGTGCCGGCAAAACTACAGCAATGAGCATTCTCGCTGGGCTCCTTCCGCCGACGTCAGGCAAAGTATACATCAACGGCCTCAACGTACAGAAAAATACGACCGCGGCTAGACGAGACATCGGCTTGTGCCCGCAGCATAATGCTTTGTTTGATGATCTAACCGTCCGAGAACACCTTGTATTTTTCGCCAGAATCAGAGGTTAGTAGCGCCACATAAACGATAAGCAAGACGCATCGATAATTGGTGGTAAACAATAAACCGCCTATCAATCGTAGCATCATTAGCTCTTGCATCTTCCGAAGACATATTGTGTTACTTAATCTGTATCTGCTCGGGAACGGGCCCGATCGCACACTTCGAGATCACCAGGTTAGTTATGGCAGCGATTGCTTAACGTCGAGTTTTGTTGAAAAATGGAGGCGGCCATGCCGTATGGTAACTGCAACATTCAGCCTCGAGGGCAACTTTCTCTTCCACCCGTAGCCAATTCACAGCGATAGCACTAGCGCGGAACCGTCTCATAGGCGACTCTATATCATCATTAATATATCATTAGTTCAGATCAACCAACCAACCAATCAATCAATTACTAAATCAGTTACTAAATACCACGGTTTTAGGCATTATTGTTACAGGTATAACCGTATGGCATCCACAGTATTAGGCTGAATCGATATTGTACTGTAAAACCATTGAGATAAACATACTTTGTTCTTTGGCATCGTTTTACTTAGGGGCAAATTCACAAAATGCCGAGAAGGAAGCGAATGAGTCTATAATGCAGTTTGAATTTTTCCCTCAAGAAGGTGTCTTAGCTCGCAATTTATCTGCAGGAATAAAGCGAAGACTTTGTATGGCTAACGCGATGATCGGTGGCAGTAGCGTAAGTAATATTTGTATCACTGGTACAAAGTAGTAATCAAAGATGACGACTAGCTTAGACGCGCGCTGGCGCTAGGGTCGCACAGCTCTCTCTCTTTCCCGCCAGCAGACACAGCGCCGTTTATCGAATAGAAAAAAGATGGCTTTTGCTATTATCGGTAACAACTCAGTGTTAATGTTTATACTTATAATTGTCAGAAACACCCATGCGATATACTTAAATATAATTGTATATCCGGAAGTGAGAGTACACATACTTAATTGTGAGCTGAGGCCTGGATGTCTCTGAAAGCGGTTTCAAACGTGGTGTTGCAATACTGTAGTGTTCAGTGTGTGAAATGTTGCTTTTTTCAGTTGTAGCTTTATAATTTATCAATGATTTGATGATTGTTACTAACAATAACAACGCACAGCATTTAGGCGATCCTGTACATTTGCATTTTGAACTTAAGGTATGATCACGAAAAATTTCAGATTGTCATCCTCGACGAGCCGACAACCGGCATGGATCCTGAAGTGAGGCGTAGGGTTTGGACGATATTGCAAGAGGTAAGCTGAGCTTTTCATGTTAACTGTTTCGTCCAACGGGTGCTAAAACGAGGCTAACATGACATACGAACATTTTTCGTTTTCCATTGTTTATCAAACAAGCTATTGGGCTCTTGCATCCAATAAAAGTGCAAAGTGACAGAAAGTTGATTCAAACCTTTAACTTTACATTGGCAGGCGCGTCAGGACCGAACAATTCTAATGACAACGCATGATATGAACGAAGCAGATTTTCTAGGTGACCGTATTGCCATTCTAGCAAATGGAAAGCTGAAGTGTACCGGATCGCCGATTTTCCTTAAAAAAGCATTTGGTAAGATACTAGCTTCTAACACAGTATTTTTTTTTATATTATAAAAGAATGGACGCACGAAGTATAACTAGTTATTTCTTTAATCGAGTATTTGAATCGAGCGCATCAGCATACACATTTGACGTAGCTTCGTGCTCGAAAACCACGCTGAAAAATATCACTCTACCGTTCTATTTGTAAGCAGCTGAGACATTACTATGCGTAGCATGAATTATATCAACGTTTTATTAATTTGCTGTTTTTATGATGTTCGTTTTTTAATCGTCATCGTAAAATGGGTTTTGTATAAACAGTCATTTCGATAAAGACGATGATCGTCGTGCATTAATCGATGGTTCAATGCCCGGGTGGGTAAAAAAAACCGTCGACCAACAACGATAAGGTTATGGGTTTCATCTATAACTGAAATCAGTGATTTTTCCTAAGTACCAGAGTAAATGTCACTATATCCTTGGTTAATTTATTTAGTTATAATAGTAGTTAGTACGTTACTATTTACATTTGCCTCTCAAAGCCTTAACGCTGACAGGTTTCTGCCCTGCGCAGGTATTTATTAGACTGACGCATGCCATGGAATAGCTGTTCTTTTTTCCGCTACGACCCGCATATAATTTCGAAGAGGAAACGTATTAACGTTTGTTGAAGAAATACGCGGTAATTTCGTGGCTACCGCACTATGTTGAATGACGGATGTCGTCTTAAAAAATTATCTTGGTTTTCTTTTGGTATGTTTGTTTTTAATTCTAGAGACCGGCTACAATCTTCGATGTATGAAGTCTGGCCCCAACACTTCCGTCAAATCAATTGTCGAACGACTGCAAATATGTTTAGACGACGATCAGGCAAATTTCAGATTACTTGTTAAAAACGTTATGCTTTGAGCGCAGCTAACCTTTGATCTATCTTTAAATAAATATGCATGTCTAAAGACTCGACAAGGAGATATTTGCGAAATTCTAAAAGCGATAAAGTATCACGCACGATTCCTTCAAGGCTGAAATTTTAGCTGCTTATCGTAAGTTAGTGTTTTTCCTGTTAACTGCACTTATTATTCATAATTGTAGTTAACAGGAAAATCTATTCCAAAATAGGTTCGGTTGGTATCCGAAGTTGGGCTGGAGTTCACTATAAATCTTGGATTTCCCAATGCTGCGGAATTCATCAAACTGTTTCGAGATCTCGAAACAAACAAAGACAAATTAGGGGTAAGTTCGCACATACGTACGTAAGATACATTACATGGAACCTGGACACGACCTTTAAGGAATTAGCCAAAGAATACGTATTCAAACATTGTTGAAGCACATTTAAATCAGAATAGAACGATTATCCTACAAGTTTTTACGACAACCAGTAGTACAATTGCCTTCTATTAAACATTTTCTACAGGATTGCCGGCAGCGATTAAATTATCAAGCTAGATTTTTCTAGATATGTGAAACAATAACAAATTAAGCAGTTGCCGGTAAGTACCATTCCAAAGCGTTCTGCACGACCTCGTGCAGTGCTGCACGAGGGAGCTGTGTTACTCTTAGGGCATGTCTCGTAGCTAAATTCAGCGGTTTTAAATTAGTATCATGGAATAATATGTAAGTCGATTTCGCGTCTCAACACATTCTGAGCATTAATAGAGCAGGCTTTTTCGCATTAAATAACGGTTGTGACTACCAGCGCTTTTTTCTTTCCTAAAACAGGAGAGATCGGTTAGCCCTTGTCGATCAAAACAGTTGACTGGACTGCTAAACAATTCGAGTTTCTTACGCCACGAAGTAGAAATTGAGAAAAACAGCTAACTTTGTTTACTAGGGGGCGCCATATTTAAAAAAAAGCGAATTATTTTCGCCATCACTTACCGACGGACAACAAAAAAAAGTTCTTTTTCCTGACGCCTGTATTGCAGATTGCTAGCTGGGGTGTTTCGGTTACAACTATTGAGGACGTCTTTCTTAAAGTTGACCAACTAGGCGACGATCTACAAAGCTTCCCAAGAAAGTCGCGAGAGCAATACTCTCGTAAGATGAAAGCTTCTCATTTTCTTAAAGAAATGTCTGTACATGTTTGCATGTTTTTAGGTCGAAGCCAATAATTCATAATGTGTGTGATTTGGTTGGTCTGGTTGGTGAAGATTTGGTTGACACAGAAAATCATTTAGGTAATAATCAGGTGCTGTTCGATCCTACCTGATTCTGTTGAGAATATTGCAAATTGAGAAGATAACTTTTAGTTCTGTGGAAATATCTGTTATATGTGCACGATGAGATGAAGGTTTATTGACAGTTATAAACATATCTGATTGGTGATTTGTTTCTGTGTATATGCGTGTTTACTTCATTGTCCTCTGTTATAGAGCTATTTCCCCGATTTACTCGAATCACCGGATCGCTGTTACGACGAAGGCAGTTCTATGCTATATTGCTCAAACGTAGCCGGGTGATTAGACGGCAATGGTTTATGTTGCTAGTTCTCATTGTGATACCTGGCATCCTGGTAATTTACTTTGCTCGGTGGGCGCAGTCTGCTTTGGATACTGAAGACCGCACGGTGAGTATAATATAATTACCGTGACGTGGTCTTCACGTGATGATCTTGAACGTGACGTACCGTTTGTGTATTCATTCGTTCTCTTGTTTACTCCTTTTGGACATTGCTCAGTTAATCAGACTAACGCTCGTAGAATCCTTGAGGGTGGTTTATTTATAATTCCTTTAAGTAAAAATTTCCTTGAGCTATGATATTGCAAATGACCAATGGAAGCCCCGTTGTACAGCCCTAGTAAGGGATGTAAGTGGAAACTATAGGTCTATAAGTTTCTCGTGTCTCATTGTAGTTTATCAAGTATAGGGAATGCGAATTACATCTAGTAAAATGGTGAATATAGATAAATTTTTTCTAGATGAATTAATTTCTACTATGTGTTTGACCTATTGTTGTAGCTTGCTCACCAACAAGCAAACGTCTTATATATTAATTTTATGCACCAGAGGAACCGAGAGAGCATGTACCTCCCAATATAGAAACTCCATCCTCATACTTGGCACGTTTATGCCTTTGCCTGAGCGTCTGTTGTATACGTAGGAAATGTTTTCAACGATTCCAGACATAATTCAAGCGTATAATAAGTGTAGACCTTTGTCGTCGACGTATAGTGACCTCATGGAACTTGTTCAAAGTTGTCTTCTCTTAACATTAATAGCACGCAGCGGTGTGTTCGTCGTTAATCCGCGGAAGTAGGTTAAGTGAATCGATCAGCTTACTTTATACCTAATTCCTAATAAAAAAAAAATTAATTCCTAAAGGTGTCAAACGAATATATTTAACGCTATTCCCAGGTAGCGCATACGAGGTATTAGTAAAAATAGAGGTTTTTAATTTAACAGGAACCTGGATTGCATTATTCGTTTCGATCATTTTCACAAGGAAAACGTTCACAAGGCTTCATACAGCGCAGGCAGCAAAATTTCGACTCGAACATACTGGAGTTGAAGCTTGCTATGGAGGAAGACGGTCTTAAAGTACACGAATTGGACCACGACACTAACGTTGACGAATTTCTTCTTGATCAGGGTACGATCTCGGTCTCATTTCACTATTTGTTAACGCTAACGTGTGCGCAATCGATACCGAAAGGTGTTCGCACAGCTTAAGCGTTAAAACTGTAAAATAGGCTACAAACAAAAAGTCCCATACTTTTAAGCGATTCTTTGTACAATACAATATTTTTGCATATTTTAGAGATATTTGCGGCATTCGCTTTTAAACATGTCTAGATGGTAGCTTTATATTGAGGTTCAGTGACTAGTACGATTTCAACAGTGCACATGGTTATTGGATGTCGTGTTCGCAGTAGTATTCGGCATAGTATAAACTCTTCATGAAAAGTTTCTTCTTAAATTAATTTCGATAGCTTCATTTTTCATTTAATATAAAAAAAATCAATGTCATATTTTAATTCGTCCAGCTAATTTTGGCGGGGTAATATCGTCTTCGCTCTACTTCGAGGGGTATTAGTTAACGAATTACTTTGCTCTGCCGGCTATAGTTTATATGAAGTGCGGCGTTATCCCATAATACAGCATTGAGATCTTCAAAGCGATGCTACATGTACAGCATCTGTAATATCAACATCTACTGTTGACCAGTATCGACGACATGACGACCTATTCGGAATATCTAACCGATAAAGTTAAGCTGACATGCCGAGCTAATAAAAAGGTTACAAATGGTCGTCACAAGTTGTGAACCTGCTGCCTACCTCTCTAAGCCATGGTAGACCTTATATTATACTGCATATCCTTAATTATGGAGATCAATATAGCTAAATCGCTTAAATGTCATAATCTATAAAAACAAATCATTTACACGCGTTCCGAATCCCGTATGGCTAGCAATTAGCAACCCGCTCATCTATAAAACCTTGTGGAAAATGGGTGGCGTCTCGAATCGTGTAAAGCCTATGGAGATCGCATTGTGGTTTAACGCTGAGCCGTACCATGTTCCTGCAATAGCGTTGGTCCGTTGGCAAACCGCTCTTTTACGTCAACTTATGCTAGACTTCAACAACCCAAATGGACAAGACGAGGTCACCGTGGATGTCACGAATCATCCGTTTACCTCGGAGGACTTGAAACTGGGCAATGCTTACTTTCAAATATATCGTGAGTAGTTACGGATCTGTCCACGAACTCTGACCTGGTCTAGGATTTTTTAGTTTAGCTTTTTTTAAAGAAAAAATAAGTATCTGGCTTTAACGCACAGCTCGAATGATAGTTGAGGCCTTCTCAGTCACGATTAAGGTAACACCGTTATAGATATGCTGTCTCCTGCGTGCTCTATATATATTACCTAGTAGAGATCCATAGGCATACAATAGAATCAAGCTTGTAAAAAGCGTTCACAATTCGCAGTGTAATAGTTATACATGTGTTTCAGTTAGTATCGCTTAGAAGGTGAAGTTCAATTTATTTGCTAAATCTGTTGATTTCAGTTTTCTTCAACGTTTTTATCCTGATTCAGTTGGCTGTTTCGTTTATGGCATGCGCGATGATCTACATTCCTATCGAGGAACGTGCGTCCAAAGCAGAGTTGGTAATTATATATGCCACCAATTTTTATTTTATAAGGAGGTAAATATCATGTCAAGCTATTTTCTTCAGAAAAACATTTCAGGGTGAATTAAGTTCAACATGTCTAAATCACCCTAGTGCCAGTTACGTCTTTCGAAATTATGCCGCCGCCAGAGTTAATGCGCTGTATTTATTATACCTTTGTTTTGTTACTTTCTCGATAGTTCCAATGCGTTTTCTAATGCTTCCAGAGCTTTGGAAAAGAGGAGAAAAGTTACAGCGGGCTAAATCAACAACAATGAAACAAGGCCTGAGGTAATGCAGACGTAGCATTTGCTGTGAAGGGCATGGTACAAATAACAGCGTAGTGAAAAACCAATATCAAAACGCATCTCGCCACCATATTCTGACAATTTTGGTGTGACATTCCTCAGTAATAGTGGAATTACTTAGCGTGGGTTTACAACGCACAACTCCCCGATAGTTCAGGAAGACGGTAAAAAGGAATTTGGCTTCTGACGTGGATCTAGCAGCTTTCTTTGATCTGAGGTTATCTTTAAGGCGATAGTGACGCGATTGTGTTTTTGTGCGTGGACTCATCGGTACATGCACGTCCTGTCACCTAGAACAAGTCATTATAGCGGAACTGACTCTGCGATAAGGCCTTTCTGAAATAGTTGTTGACAGGTTTGCATTCACTTAAAGGTCCTCCTGCAAAATTTTTATAAACGAATGATTATTTATGTCAAATGTACAACTTCTCCGCAAGTTTCTTAGGGGTGATTCTACGATTTTTTAAATCTTATTTTCCAAAGAAACGAGATACTGCTGAAAGTTGTTTATTTTGGAGACTCTGTGACCCTCGACAAACACATATATTAACACAAATAAACATAACAGGTCAGCTCTTACACAATATAAAAGCCGGGCGTGTTATCTATATTTTTTGCTCAGTAGTATTACATGTTCAGAACGGATCTTGGTACTGGAAATTGGTCAGCACGAGATGTAACACGCCCTCTAGCTAAACCTTATCGAATCACAAATTTGCGTTTGATTGAAGATCATTAACTCTCTTGTAGATTTCGTTTTCGTTAGCAAAGACTACGTCTGCAAACCAGTGAAATGTATATGCGTTCGTCCTTGAACTGGGATTCACAGATAGAGATACAAATGTATGTTCTTTTACCACGTTGAGAAAGGCCGTGTTGTCAAGCGACAAGATGACAAGAGTGTTCGAAATTGTGTAGCCATTAGAGAGATTGGAAGCTTCGAACTTGGGTTGACTAATTGGCTTAACTGGACATATAAATCTATAGCAGATTTGTTCTGCTTCTAACGCCTGGTGTAACCGTAGTTGCGGAGCGGCGCAGGTCTTTCGTATGCTGTAAACAAATCGTCTGTCTCTCAAATCTAGTAAGCAAATGACTTTAGAGGCGGTTTATTCAAGCTCGACATATATGCTTCAGTTGTTATTGAAACATGCACACCTCCAATGGGCTGAGATAGTTACCAGAGATCGCGGACGTGAAGTCCACCTGCCAAAAAAGTGTGCCTGGACATTTATCCGTAGACCGATTGCAACTATTCCACCTTAGACCTATCTTCAGCCATAGACAAAATCCTGAGTGATTGAGGTCATGATATTGCAGCGTATTGAAATATGCAGCGTATATTATATGGCGTATAAACTCTCTTAAGAATATCTCGTACCGTTGACTATTTCCAGTTGCTGGTGAATCGTGCGGCACATAGACCACCATATACAATAGCATGATTTGTTGTTTTAAATAAACGAGAGCAAGGCTACTACGGCTGAACCGCCTTTAACATGGACAAAATGGCACTAGTGTACAGAGGATAGCGGCGACATGCATTAGTTGTATTTTATTATAATAAAACACTTTTCGTTTCTGGAAATTATAGTTGCAAATGATGACCGGCGTCTCGAGAAGTGTTTATTTTGGAGCGGTGTTCGCTTTTGATTTCCTCACTATTCTGCTATGTTCGGGTATAATAGCAACACTCATAGCGCTATGTAACCCCACAGAATCGATCGCAACAGAGGTGGAAATTGGGGGTAAGCTGCGCTTAAAGTTACCTGTTTTTATTTCATACACTTAACTTTTAGAAGGCAAAAATGCTAATCATAGTAGCAGGTGAAGATTGTTTGCCCTTCGAATTGGCGAGGGCTGTATACTCATGTCACGAACGCATCAGTGGGCAGTGCCGGAAATTGCTTAGCTTTCAGTACGTGCAGAAAGTAAGTATAGAAATAGCGGTGATTTTCACACGTTCGTTATGACAAGTTAGTTGCGTCTTTGCAGGTGCTACATGCATTCTTTTGTGTTCCTACGGCGCCATGATGATTCTCGTCTCATATGTGTGCTCCTACATGTTAAGCACGCCCGGAACCGATTTCGCAGTTTTTCTCGCTGCCACTGTACTGGGGGGCGGTGTGATCGCGCCGATTCTAGTTTTCGCGTGGGGAGGTACGTTAACATGAGTCAATGCATTGTTTAACAATATCCCAAAAATTGTTTTTAATGATACTTGTACATTTACTAGTGGCACTTATCGCACATTATCAACAATCAACATTCACTGCCGTTTTTCATTTTGGTATCTATGTACGCGATCAGATATATAAATAGACGTATGTAATTGGACGTTTCATGAACTGGTGAACGAGAAAGTCCATAAAGACTTACGGAGTCTAGACAGTGAAGAAAGCTTTCTTGATACACGGCAAATCTTCATGAAGCCAATGCGATATCTCGCCGATATGTTCAAAGTGCACAGTAGAACAAACCACACCTCATATGGGAATTGTTTTTTTAAGCATGGCTATTTTAAACTCTTTGGCCGAAAATAATAATTTTTCACAGCGAAGGTTTTCAGTGCAGGGCTCTCGTCGGGCCAAGTCTTCTCACCGAAATTTGTTATTTTTGAGATAATTTCAATCAAAGTAACGAGATAGCTATTTGCTATTGGTTCGAGTATGCTTGATAATACAACTGAAAATAAATATAAATGAAAATGAAAAATGAACGAAATGTATTAAACAATTCATATAGATTTTCCTTTAGTCGCGCACCTTACGTTTGTTCGTAGCTCTGGGTTTACAGATTGAATATATATTGTTTCAAAATTCTAACAGGAGCTGTAGGAAACTTCATGCTCGCGCTCAACTATATTGAATATATTCCACAAGTTGCGCTTGTTATGGGCTTTTTTAACATACGGAAGGTTGCAAATTCAAAAAGATATTGTGAAAGCTTTTCTGACGCTCAACTTTCGAACGTTTGCCGGACTCCGCTAGGAAGCACGTCCTGTTGCAACTGTAAGTTATGCAAAGCTAAACAGTGAGAGCGGTACATATAACGTAGTAGAATATTGCGCGATCAAAACGGAGCCTGAACTAAGGCCTAGAGGCAGCATATGCATCGAAACTGCCGAATGTGCCGTCTGAGACTTAGAGGAGATCGGCAATAATGTCGGCATGGATTAGCCTTCCTCGAATCTCAGATGAGGGCGGAAATACGTAGATGCATATCGCGGTTACGACGCGTATGCTATTTCTCGGCCTCAATTCAGGCTCCGTTTAAACTGAGCAGTATTTTGCTTGATTACGTCAAAAATCGAACTTAATTCCACCCCCTGCATTATAACAAATAATTTCATAATAGACTTACGAATATTCTGCGTTTTCCATAATCTAATATGTCAACACGTATTATACACTAACAAAGCCACGACCCCGTTGTCGTAACTTAGCCTGTCCGTCTATTTGGACGTTCGATAGTATTTACAGCGACGTTTTTGTTATTTATCGTTTGGCTGTTTTAAATTTGGCGCTCGAATGCGTATGTATCTTACAGTGTGCACTTCTCCCGGCTCAATGAGGAAATATTGCTATAAACGGGAAAGCTTGTTTGTCATGAACGCTACATCAGGAGTGGGCTTCCAGGTAAAGTAAGGGCAATCAGCCAAAGGCTCTTCAGCTATTATTATTATAAAGAATATTGACGACATGCCTATTGCGTTCCGTCCGTCAAAATCAGGCTACCAAATCTAGTGTTTGTTCCGTAGCGTTTTACAGATCACTACGCCGCGATATGGCGTCTACAATCAAAATTCATATCAGATTCAACTCAGGCGTCTAATAATATGGCGGCTTTTTTCTTTTTTTATAGCATAACGGAAACGAAAACGGCAAAACGTAATTGAGATACCATTTATCTATAGTATAGTATAGTGGTAGGAAATTAATAATCTGGCCGAAAACTTTTTCCACTTAATAAAATAGGCGATTTGCAACTACACAGCTGTTCTACAACAGCATCGATGCTGGGTATCTGCGCTAATGAAGAACATGCTTAACGCCACAGTTGCTCGCAATTGTTCGAGCTAGATTTGGCGTACCATAATGGCTTGTTATACAGGAAGAAGTAGCTGTTATTCTTGTTGACGATAAATTGCCATTATAGTGAACTAGAAAAAAGAGTCAACCAAACTGAATGATGTCTTCTTAGTTCCAAGTTCTTAGTATCTACATCTACAATCGCTTCTCGCCTATACTTGTGGCTGATCATTAATTGAAGTTTATTTTCCCTATAGGTGGTTGCTTTATTGACAGAGGGTGCACTGGTATTGTTAGTGCTTATAGCGATTGAAACTGGCCTGATTCGCTGTTGTCTGCGCCCATTCCTGCAATTCAAAGCGTTCATCTACCGGCGCTTTTTTTGGATACCGAGTATGAATGCGATTCCAACACACTTATATTGAAAGGCCTCAAATAGGCCATAATTTTTTTCAATTTCAGAACAGCTTACATTACTACGTGTTACAATTTCCCGGTTAATGATTTACCACGAAATTTTCTACCGTAAGGTTATCGTTACACCGCACAGCAGCGTTGTTTAAAATAGAAAATACGATTTTTAAATAGGGTAGGTATTAAATATAATTACCCGTCTGGTTTTCTTCAATGAAGATCGGGTAATGACTGTGAATAAATTGATTTAAAGAGCCGAGGAGCAGCAGATGCTTTATCCTGAATTCGTGTCAGACAACATGAAGGGGAAACGAAACCTGATTTTTAGTCAAGATCGCCCAATCTAGGATTATCATCAAAAATATCGGCGGATTGCCTTAAGGATAAATAACCTAGGATACAGAATGGGTTACGAACACATACAATGCGGAAAGTTTTTTGGGATGTCAGACAATAATGTGCAGTATCCACAACTGGATTATATGTAAATAGATTATATAAACGAGGGTATTCGAACAGTGCTTAACACTTAAATGTAGCTCAGCCTAGTTAAGTAGATCCTTTGTTATTAGGATACTAGCACATTAGCGAAAGCAATCAGTCTCGACCGAGTAAAGCATGTTGATTTTTGATCTGCAGCTGTGCCCCTTTCAGAGGACTCAGACGTGAAGGCTGAAAAACACAAGGTCTTAAAAATCATTACTAAAGACAATCAGAGCCACTACGCCCTTGTAGCAGACAACCTAACAAAGACGTACGATGGGTTTGTGGCAGTGAATCATATCTCGTTTGCCGTTGACCACGGAGAGTGTTTCGGGCTTCTTGGATCTAATGGCGCAGGCAAAAGTACGACGTTTCGCATGCTTACGGGTGATTTAGATATGAGCGAGGGAAATGCTTATATCTGTGGCGCTAACTTGCGAACGTCGCCTCGTGAATACCAAACCAACGTGGGATTTTGCCCTCAGACTGATGCTCTGATCGATAAACTTTCGGGTAAGGAAATGCTTGAGCTGTTTTGTGCGCTACGAGGTGTTCCTTCTGATCAACAGGCTTCAATTGTCACTCAGATGGTGTCTCTAATCGACCTTGAGGCTCAGGCGGATAACTTGACTCAGACCTACAGCGGAGGTATGAAGCGGAGGTTGTCGCTAGGTTTGGCGGTAATCGGCAACTTGTCCGTGGTCCTCCTCGACGAGCCTACAGCTGGTATTGATCCGTCAACGCGTCGCAAAATCTGGACGACGCTAGCTATAGCTCAAGAAGAGGGTACGACAATCATTTTGACCTCACACTCGATAAATGAATGCGAGGCTCTTTGTGATCGTATGGCCATCATGGTTAATGGCATGTTCCAGTGTCTCGGTTCATCGCAATACCTCAAATCGAAATTTAGTCAAGGGTTCACATTCATAGTCAAACTGAGGCCGACTGATATACCTTCTTTTGTAATTCCTAAAGTACTTACATCGATGAAGCTGTACTTCCCCAATGCACACACGCTTAAAGATACCCATCAGGTTAGCATACTTGTTTTCATGGATTTTAACACGAATGCAAAGAAAAATATTATAATGCCTACCTGTGGTGCTTAGGTCGTATGTAACTAAATGCTAGAAGGGCGACAGTTGCGTACGTGACTCGTGAACCCAACGTAAGCGTGTACCGCAGGTTGGATTCTGTAGGTCTGATGCCTAAGTAGTTTCATCCTTCTGCTATTTGAATTTAACGTAAATTTGAGGTTAGCTATCTTTAAGTTCTCGAAGGAGCTAAGTACGACGACACATCAACTAGCGTTTTCTCTCAACCTTCAACTGTACCTCGTAGATTAACTCGTCGAATATTCCTGTATAAGTTCACTTCTGAATTTATACAGCAATATTGGAGTGTTAATTGAGGACCTATAATTGAGAAATATAGCTTTGAGAACTGCACGCGACAAAACGTGAAGGCTGTTGATGATATACGTACCGTTTTTTGCGCTGTACAATCCCCAGTTCGTGTTGCACTTTCATATCACGGACGCGAAGCTTCGCTGGAGCGAGCTTTTTCAACGAGTGCAGGAACTCAAGGAGGAATTCAATTTCGAAGACATTTTCGTATCGGATTCTAGTCTTGAGCAGGTTTTTCTCTCATTTGCAAAGGCACGGAAGCCCGTTTGATGTGTCGAGCTTCCATAATGTAAGCTACAACTGATTTGATAATTAACTGATTCGTTGTTATAAAACATATTCATCAAAGGATAATCAAAAGCTTGTTGCACGATTAAGAGTATCTATAGAGCAGATTTAAAATATGAGAACGGTGTTAAAATATTTATAGATTAGTGTCTCGGTTTATTGCGACCTGATTGCTTTGGGTATTTATGTTGTAGGCTCGACAATGTAAATTGTTTATCTAAATGCCGATTATTTGTTTATAATTAGATCGCATCACAGCGAAAAGCACCACACAATATGCGGCGATCTTCACCCCCTGCAAACGCCTGGTTTACGTGCGATGCATGCAAGCTGGCCGCAAGTTACCAGTATCACTCGTTAATTCAACCAGTAACGGGTCGGCGACTGGGGAAAGGGTAAACCTGCTGGGCATCAACTTGAAAATTTTTAACTCGAACTGGTTGAAATTGCTTTGTTCACTCTGTTATGCATTGTGGTTGTCCTTGTTGTCCTACTTCAGTTTTATCGTTGTAGTCACGCCGCTACCTTTAGCAAAGTAATTGCATTGTTCGGAATTGCCGGAGACGTTCCGTTGATTTCACATGGTATCCGCCACCGCGTTGTTTTAGTTACTCGGTAATCTTGCTTTAACTTCTTAGATACCATAACCCACACACTCTACTATGGCTTTCAAGGCATGCTGTAACGGTGCAAAAGGTATCTAATTCCTCTATCAATTGTCCCTTGCGTCTAAGCCTTTGCTATGTTTTGTGAACCCCTATTAGACTTTTTAACTATAGTAAACTGCGATTTACTGTTGAATCTTCATGTTAATAGTAGACGGTTAATAGAAGGTAGGTACGCAAGTAATGCAAAAAAAAAAAGGTCCTCTCGAAATATGAACTGCTGTGAGTGGAACCATTCTAGTTACTATTATAATTATTGTGTACAGTTAGGCCAGCTGATCGAGCAACCCTGGACAATAAACAGGACAATATATAAGACATTTTGCGTTCTCTCATACAGTTTCTCAGAAACTCCTTCTAGGACATTGAAAACGCTCCGATATCGCGATAAACAGGTTTGAGATAAGAGTTGATCGCTTACAATATGACTCGACATTAAAGCGCAGGGATGGGGGGCAACCAGGTAAATTTCAACATCGTTCTCAGTAACTTCACACTAATGACAAGCCTAATCTTGCAAATTAGGCAGAACTAATTCAGTCAACAAGCAGAAGCCTGAATTCGTGGAATCGCTTGCATCACATTCAACAATACGCATTACTGTTAAAACGGATTTCCAGATCTTAGAACAGGATTCTGACAGCATGCACGAATAGAGCTATGTTTGAAACTGGCGCAAGTTGCTTTGCTAAAAACTAATCATCTATTCGATCCTGTATATAGAACCATTGTTGTCATCGTAGAAAACCAGCCAATTGAAAACTTGTGTCCCACTGGTTGCTTGCCATATTTGTCTACTTCATATAGCTACATGGGTTAAAGTCATGCGAAATCTTTTCTTATTTCTTATATCGTTGGATTTGATGTTTTTAAGAACAAAAAAAAAAACTAAAGAAATAAAATGTTGTGCGTTACGCAAAAAAAATCGATGGTTTATCAGTTGTCTTCTTTCCCTGAGAGGAGTGGTCTAATACTATTGCAGGAAAAATATATTGCTATCAGATTGTACTGATATCTACCAATGTTTATAATATCTAGTAGTTGAAAGCAGCTATAGCCATGAAGAGGAGGGCAGTGCTGCTAAACTGGATGGATAATGCAAGATTCTACCCCTTCTGGAAGGACAATCAGTTTGCATCAAAAGCGTAAGCGTGATGTCACCTTTAGGCGACTTAGGCTTAGACTGTCGAAGATCAAACAAGGGAACGAAAGCGGGTATCGTCAACAGTTGAATGCAGGACGAGAGTTGAACTGCGCCGATTAGTAATTTTCAAAAGCCGTGACCGAAACGTGTTGGCCGAAAAAATCGGCCAATGGTTAAGCTATAAATAACGGTGTATGTTAATCTACGATAATGCATAGAACTACATCGGCCATGGCCCGCCGAAATTGACGTAGTCGCCGTAAGTTACTCTCCTCTCTTCAATGCACGACCAAGCTCGATGATTCCAAACATGTTTACATAAATGATATCCTAGGTGTTGTGCTGTTCGTTCAAGCTGGACGATCAAATTTTCTCTTTACGTCCCAGATTCGTATTCTTAATATATATGCTCTTGACAAATGACAGCCTGTACTGTTATGTTAAATTACTAAAGCTATTTATCTCACCTATTACTCTCGGTATTTGCTAACCGCTCGTTATCATTAGATTACCAAATAAAACAGTTACCTGGGTTATGGGGATCCTTTTGTCTGTGTCAGCAATTCATCACATCACCATAGTGATTAGTTAAATAAATTTATTGAAGCCCATGTACATTTCCATTACGATTCGCCGTTACATTCTGTTTTCTAGTAGTACAGAGAAAGTCAGTATCCGCTGTTATAAATACACGATATATGTTATTGTACATAAGATTCTTGTCAACTATCAAGTACCCTATGTAGATCTGTCAGATCAATGCTTCAATTTAAGGGATCATGCACCTCTGTCTGTCGTGAACCTGCTAAATATGATTTATAAAGGTGGGGAAATTAGGAATTGATGAGTGATTCCGAATCAGAGTATGCTATTCCTGAAGGACGTCATGCGGAGACTGACTCTTTGATGGATTAATACGTCGTTATAAAGAAACTGAATTCGGTTTATTCAGCGTGCTTCGTATAGTATGCGAAATTTAGCGATTGTGTCGCCCGAAGCGTCGATTAACGGCCAAATCAAATTCAAAACTTCGTACACTTAGGACGCAATTGCCAGTAAATATTAATGATTCTCCGAGGTTTCGTTTTTCAACTGGTCACCTAGGGACAAGGCAGTATAGGTTTGACGGATCTACGCGTCAAAAATGTTATAACAAAAATAGGGTTTCTTTCATGGTCGGTCTATTCAAAAAACTACAGCATGCATATTAACTCTCGGGTCTTCAATAAGGTACGGTGGCGGCATAGATCTGTAAAGATAACACGAACTTGCGAGGGCACAGTGAAGTTCACTACTTAATTTTCAACTGTTTTTAGTGCAAACGATTGCGTCTGCTCACTGCACAATCTATTATAAAGGAAGATCGACGAGTGAAGCTTTAGAGTTCAATTGGCCGTTTGTTTCAACAAACAAACCCATACAATCTTTAAACACTGCGTAGAGCACATTTCAGGGGGAATAAAGTACCACATATTTCATTGGACGTTTCTTGTGTTCATAGTTTATCAACTTACCTCAGTAATAATTAAGCCTAACCCAAATAGATTTACTAGTAATTTTTTTTACATTATCAGCAGTTTAACGAAAAACAGGTAAAATGTTTTTATCGGAAGGCATCGTTATACACTTTAGGGTACTTATCCACGTGACCGATATACACTAAACGACGGATTTAACTAACTAAATAAGCCAAAATAACCCTTATATTATAAAGCATAATAATAATAATAAGCAATACGATGTAGTCGGTGGTGCTGATCACCAGCAAGGTAACGTTGGACAAAGCAAAGTTGGCGTAAGAACCTCGTAGACTGATATCAATTGTTTGGCGCGTATTCAAAAAACAACACAAGGAATCACTAATTATTTTTGTAAGCAAAATTTGTTATCACTCACTATCATCTACTTTAAAGTGAAAAAATAACAACGAAAATACCATACCAAATGTTAGATACCATAGCCTAGGTTTGGTTTCTAAGATATCTTTGCAACGGAGAAATGTATCGATGCAGATGCCGCTATAGAAAAGTTAGCCAAAAAACTTCTGCGTGCAGTTCAACTAAAAATATCAACAACAAATAGCTCCAAAGTACAACAGCGAACACACAATGTATTTAGGATGCGTGCAGTAGAATTAATACAGAATTCTTTATTGGGGCCTTTTGACTCTGAAGCCAGCGGGTTTTCGGGCGGGCGGGCGGATTCGAATCCGATGTTGGAACTAAGAAAAAGTAACCGCGTGCTATTTCTGAAAGAACGAAGCACTAAGTGTGTGATATATAGTGTAATGTCTTGCTTATACGTAAATAGAATGTATAGCGAGCAACGCAGGTAGATAATAGCCTATAATTACAGTTATGAGTATCCAACAAACACTGAGTGATAAGTCTATAGAAGAGCACCGAACGGTTTCTAACACTCACGATAATTCAACCGAGGAAAACATTCAGTTTGAGAGTTCACTTCGTATTCAGGGCTCTCCAGTTTCCGGCTTCGTGAAGTAAGTGTTTGTACAGCGGCGCGTTGTGTTGGCAGCATATGTAAACAAGCATCGGATGGTCTCAATTGGTACGGTTAGGGTCTAGTATATCAAATAATGTATTTTCCTCATTAGTCACAGTTTATCATCAATTTATCATTTTTTAGAGCGAATGTTATTCATGTAGTAACGCTGAGCTCCGACCATCTATTTTAAATCTGAACAAACACAAGGTGAACAGGTAGCTCAGCGTTCGAAGTTTAAAAAAAGAACAGAGATCTAGTACTAGTCAGATTTTCTTTTTTACCTAGTACAACTAACTGCATCTCTCGAAGACAACTACACCATACATTGTTGTGCTCTCGCATCTTGAATTAGGCGCTGATAGTCGGCTATTTTCGCCGTGCAGACATAGTAATTTTCTATTCGGTTTTTAAAACGAGCAGAACATATATATTATAACAATGAACACATTAAGCTTTTACTCAAGGCAAGTTCCCTGAGAAGTATTGGGCATATCTTCATAAGCAAGCAGCGTGTAACCTCACTATTGCGATTGTGAACAGAAGTTTGTTTTCTTTTTCTTGAACATCCTCTCGTTTCTAAAAAAAAAAAAAAAAAAAAAAAAAAAAAAAGATTTTCGAGAACGCAATGTCCTGGACACTGAGATATCTGTTCGCAAAAGTTCCGTCTTTGAATGGTGATTATGAAATGCCTTATCAAAAAAACTTGCATGGAAAAATCAATGAAAATTGCGTATCTTTACCTTTTACTAAGGATATACTACATTGCTTGACACCTAACCAGCAAAACTACTTCTGATAAAACAATGGTCTAGAGTGCGGCGATAGCATTTAGTGTATTTGGATGTGGGTCCTTATAGTACAAATAACTTAGTTATGCATAGATTAGAGGTCTGAATGTTGACAGAAACATGTACATATTTTTTGAATTGGACTTCATTTGAGAAACGATCGTTTTATTATGCAAAAGCGTTCATTTTTATTTTAATTTTTAACTTCAATCCAATAAACGATAAGTTCCATATCATAACAGTGCATACTTCCATGGGTTTTTTCAAAAGACATTCTGATGATAGTATTGCCATCATACACAGTAAGTACTAAGGAATATTGTTGGTAAATGTATAGTTAGTCTCGATATATGTATATACAGTAACAGAATCGTAGTCACATGGGCTTAAGTGAGATCAATTTGATTTTATCTCTTTGTTGTTCTTGAAAATGCTAGAATGCTGGGTGTGGTAGTGGTCCGTACAGAGTTGCTTCCTAACATCCCAGTAAAGCACGTTTGCCATAATTTACATTATCATTTTTTCTAGCAAGAATTTTGCACGAAATCAGTAGAGCTTCATCTAGCCTTATCGAATGACACCTCGCCTCGGAAGGTTATCTGAGACAACAAAAATTTTGTCCTAAATTAACCTGAGATTTTTACCCTGTGGCAACGGCTGATTTCAATGATCAAGTAACAGTCGCCCATATGTCGTAATTGCGTCCTTAGCTCCGTAGAAGCAATGTTTCGTTTCTGGAGGCTTTGGTCAGTAGTGCTACCATCACAGCTTCTACCGGATTTGCTTAAGCGTCATAGGAAAAGCTGACGGATGCGCTAATCTCAAGGTTGTTTTCAGCCAACTGCACTCAATATGGGCCTCAGTGCGTAGGCTTAGGCCAAGAATTACTAAATCTACAGATGATGATCAGGCCAGTGCTCAGCGGACAGTGGCTATCACGCCACTTATTAATTGGACGCGACTTTGTGCACTCTACCGGAAAGATTATATCATATGTAAATGGAAACGGAATTTTTGGAAATCAGCGTTCGAGCTACTTATTCCTATCGTATTTCTGGGTAAGTAGCGCCTACACAGATGCGTACAACTTTTCGACATATAAGAAATGTATAATGTACGTCTTAAATGCGAGTATGCGCTTTTTTAGATTAATTAGTACGAATCTGTCTGGGAGGTTTTGCCCGCGTATACACCTGTGTAGCTATTGGACCAACCAGCTTATTTTTCGAAACAACCTATCTTGTAGTTGTTAACTTCATCTAGACGCAAAGTGAGTGATTAGAGGTATTAGGGCGTATATAGCCTCAACCTATTCTCAAACTTTTAATGGGTGTGCGTGTTATTTCTCGAGTGAAGAACACTGCTTAGTGGGCCATTTTTGGTAAGCAGAACTGGCGCTGTGGGTTGGACCAATTGTTGGGTTAAAGTGCCAAAAGCTGAAATGCGCATGAGATCTATAAAGGGTGTTAGTTGCTGAAGACAGCAGGACGGTGGCCATGGAAGTCGGAATCCGCTAAGGAGTGTGTAACAACTCACCTGCCAAAGCAACTAGCCCCAAAAATGGATGTCGCTATACCATTGTAGTTGTATTCAATCTCTGACGTGTGACGCACCGGAGCGCTCAGAGAGTAGGAAGGTAATGTGATAGCGTCGAAGGATGTTGCTGTGAAGCAATCTGCAGCTCTTATCTCTACGGATCTTGGTGATAGTAGCATGTATTCAATTGAAAACCTTGAGCACTGAAGTTGGGGATGGGTTCCAGGGAAACAGTAGTTGGTCGTGGGTCAGTCGGTCCTAAGCTTACGATGAGACATGTGTTGAATGTGTATGATGTGTTATCACTATAAGCGAAAGGGGATCAGGCTAATGTTCCTGAACCTGCACACTGGGAGCGCTACTTAGGTAGCAACAATTACGCTCAAAAACACCAAGGGATAGGCTAGGAACAGTTGTCTTTTCTTTTCAAGTCACTGGTACCCATGGAATGAAGTAAATTGGAGATATAGGTGAGGATAACATAAAGCTGCTCATATTAGAGTAGTTCAGTTGATTCCCTTGGTCCGTGAAAATTTGAGCGTGGTGATTATCTTGGTGGCAGTCCGTACTAATATCCGCAGCAGTCCTCCGAGGTCGGCAAAATAGAGAAGGAATGGCTCTGAAGGTTGATCCGGTCGGGCTGACAGTAGAAGTATTTATGACATTGTGCTGTTGCGTCTGGATGATGACAGAAGTTGTGTTTATGGACATGGTTAGCTCTTTCTGTTTATACTGATGTGAGTGGAAATTATCAACTACTTCTGAACTGGCACGAACTGAGAGAATCCGACTGTCTAATTAAAACAAAGCATTGTGACGTAATGTGATTTCTGCCCAGTGCTCTGAATGTCAAAGTGCAGAGATTCTTTGAAGCGCGGGTAAACGGCGGGAGTAACTATGACTCTTTTATGTCATCTAATTAGTGACGCGCATGAACGGATTAATGAGATTCCCACTGTCCCCCCTATCTACTGCCTAAGGGAACGGGCTTGGACTGAACGGCGGGGAAAGTAGACCCTGTTGAGCTTGACTCTAGTCTGACTTTGTGAAGAGATATAGGAGGCGTAGCATAAGTGGGAAATTCGTCATCAATGAAATACCACTACTCCTATTGTTTCAGTGAAGTAAATATGGTCATTAGATGTTTTAGAAAAAATATAGTAATAGTAATTTGCGTGATTCATATTGAGGACATAGTCAGGTGGAGAGTTCGACCGGGGCGGTACGTCTGTCAAAAAATAACGCAGGTATCCTAAGGCCAGCTCAGCGAGAAGAGAAATCTTGCATAGAGCCAAACGGTAAATGCTGGCTTGATCTTAGCTTTCAGTACGAGTGTAGACTGTGAAAGCGTGGCCCCTCGATCCTTTATTTTTAGGAATTTTAAGCGAGAGGTGTCAGAAAAGTTACTACAGGGATAACTGGCTTGTGACAGCCAAGCGTTTATAGAGACGTCGTTAAGTTAGAACGTCGCTTCAAATGCGAGACCTTAAGCGATTTTTTTATCGCTTTATATGTCTCGTAATCTTGCAGGCTAATTTAATTTGTTAAGATTTTTGTGGTCCACCCAAAGCATTTATACAAAGGTGCAATAGGAAATTTTCTACGGTTAACAGTTTCGACGTTGATGGCTTAATTGCCAATCGAACAACAAACAAAAAAACGACTGTAATCCATTATTACTAGATTATCAACAAGTCTACTTCTCATTTTAGAACGTTCTATGATGAAAGTGAGAGAATAGAACGTTATGTAAAGCTTATAGTACCTAGCAAGTCAAAAATAGCTGTTAGTATCAACATAATTCAGGAACTGAGACATGAACAACGCTGACAACTCATTATCATGTAGCGACAAAATACTATTGTCCTGAAGAAAGTCAAGCCTTCCCGACGAGGCCCAGTTAGTCCCGTCCCACAGTTTCAAATATACGTCGTGTGTTCTTGTGAGAGCGATTTATCAAAAAAATCGTATAGATTTCCATGTATTCATCTAACATCTACACGCACGAAATGTTTAGCTCGACATTTCGAGGGTTGGTAACACCAATGTTTAGACGTTTTCGTCACTATCGCTGGTAATATATCATAAAGCAATTGTCGTCAAACTGCAGTGTTTGAAGGAACGAAGTCTTCGCTGTTCTGATTTAGTCCTGGCACTCGAGGATCCAGTTTTAGAAATAAGCAAATTGGCTACCAATTATAGCCTCTGTTCCAACAGTATTTCTTAGGTGAAAAGGCAGTAGGCAGACTTCTGTTACCGATCTACCACTTGTAATAGAATCAATAAGATTTAAGCAGCGCGTATGCCTAGGTCCCGCGAGCACGACATATATGTATGTATATTGGCGGTACAAATTGCCAGATAGTGTTTATTTCTGCATGGGTTTATTAGCTAAAATTGTTTTAGTCTGGTGAACACGATCTCGATATTCTAAACGTGTATCGTAAGCGTTTCTGTCTTGACGTTGTAAATGTGTTTTATTCAGTATTGATGTATTCTCATCATAAACTTTACACTTGAATATGCCTTAACGAGAGTTGGTGGAGAGAAGCTCCAGGTACCTTATGGTGTCTTGGAACTTTATTCTGATGAGTTCGTGCAGTAGTTTGGCAAAAAACTGAAAACAAGGGCAGTACTTTTGTTTTATTTGAATCAAACCGTTTAGTTTCTGGAAGCCCTTGACCCGTGTAACTAATTGGGAAATGCATATACTGGCCTGGAAGAATCCGCGTTCGCAAGAATGCAAATTACATGTCGGGCTTTAATAATTTGTCATACTCAAAATACACAGAATGGTTTATATATTACCTGTGTACTTCATAAGGTGGCCATGGGAGCGGTTCTGCAACGGTTTGGACTAGCTCAACTATTACATATTAGACCTGCGTATTGCCATTAACTGTAGAAGCAATAAATTGATTCTTGTCGTCTGTGGCCATACCAGCTCACCTGGTACCAATGTCATTCTGAAATGGTTGCAAGTACCGCAACCGCGTGGTCTAAAACAACCACGAAAGTAACAGGCGTCCAAGTGTCGTCAGTCATTTGAATTGTCCTGAAAACAAAAGTCCGCAGGGCCTACATCTATGAGAAAGGTTTGCTTTAGCCAACGGACAATATTTTTAGGCATTTCGTTCCCAGAATGGTGTTAGTGTTTCGCTAGCCCACTTATATTCGTTTGGGCTTAAGTTTAAGTTTGTCTACACCGGATTGTATTATGAGCTGTTTTTTACACTATGAGAAAAAAAAAAACGTTTCTTTTGTTTCATTTCTATTCACCAATTAGACGATGTATCTGTCAAACTTGATCTCACTATCGATACTTTTCATTGATCTTTGTGTTTTACGTTCCGTCAGTATATGTGGCCTTTCTCCGTGGACATGAACGACAGCTAGGAGGCAAATGGAAAGATCCCGAGACCTACCCCTATGTGCATCTTAACTCGTCGATTGATTTTAAAGTACGTACGTTAACCTAGCTTACTCAGAACATTCAATAACCACTATATTAACGTAATACAGAGAGCTAAATGAACTTTTCGGAATAACTAGAATATTCCATTTTACGGGTGGTCACATATGGCGTTCATATCGTTGTTAGTAAGACAACATTTCATAGCACGTCGATAAATTCCGATATGGACACATTTGCACTCATAGCTGAACTACTATAGAAGCTCGTAATTCGGCTAATTTAGCGTAATTTATACGACGAAACAATCGTTGTCGTTAGCGGTCCGACCAATATCTCAAGGATATGTTGTTGTGCTGCTGATCGAGTATTATGTGTGGTAACTATAAAAATTAAACAGAAATTGAATAAAAAATAATTTCTTGAATACTGGCCAGCCACACGGTACTGCTAGAATTCGGTTCGTAAAGGATTTGGAAGGTACATTTTGAACACAGTTACTGCAATCATGTGTTAATCGGAACGATATCTTTAGGGAATGCATGCGCCATTGGGTCACTTACACCGTACGGAATATAAACCAATGGAAAACTTAGGTTAGGTCAAATGCTGAGAGAGCTCACTTTGTACACACGTAGCATCTTAAATAGAAATCTATTATATTAACCGCAGTACGTTAAGCGTTTGCTAAACACAAGTATAATTAGGTAAATAATTAATAGTAATTAGATAAGCTTCAACTTATTCGACGGGATTGGAATCTTACGAACAAGACTTTCTGTTGTAGGCAAATGCATCTAAAATACTTTATGCGCCAATAACAAACTATACAAACACGGTAGTGCCGAATGCTTTCAACAACTCGGAAAGCTGCCCAGGTAGGTGGCTGGTTCATCCTGAATCGTGTCTCGACACTAAACTATAACGGGGATTGACATTTTAAACTCTTGATTATTTTGCTGCTCATAATAGCACAGTAATCCAAATGGGCATAGGTTAGGCATCGCATCAAGTTAGGTAGAGATGGCAGTAGAAAACTATACGGATTGTTACGGCGTTTTTCACAGAATCCGATCAAGATGTATGCACTACATATAAATGTCGGTGCAATAGTTACGTTACTAGCTCTGGGTTTCTCGTCTCCCTTAGGAGAACGGAAACCTGTGCGTTGCTCTCGTGGTGCATCTTCATTTACGTTAACAACTGGGTCGGGTCTACTCATCATTGTAGGAGCGAAATTTTTTCCCCGCTGAAAATGTCTTATAACAATCGTAATAATATCAATTTAGAGGTGCGAATATAAAAGTTGAAAACCTGCCAGCTCCACTAGTTATTTCATGTAGGCGCTAGACGGACTTCTCATTCTTCACTGCGTAATCAGTGTTAGATGAGGTTCATGCGGCTGCCGATCAAACTAATTGGGATAGCTTTTTTTTTGCAGTGTTTATGGGCTTCAAGAAAATTAGCGAGCTGGTAAATTACCTCGAGAACCAAAACCCCACCGATGTCGCGCTTGCACTTATTTTTGAGTCGGATACAGCACTCGTAAGTTAGCCATAGATCAACTTATCCGACAAAAAAGAAAAAAGTAACTATAGAAAACGTATGTGGAAAACGAATTTGCTTAACTAATTAGTTGTTACCGACTTGACGATAAGTCGGTAACAACTAAGGAAGTTTAGATCGTCAAGAAAACACGGACCTGCATTAGGTACCGTGCAAGCTTTAGCACAAGCTTTTACGATCACTATCTGCTGTGAAGCGAGTGCACCTTCCATGAACTCTTTTTGATAGTATTATAACGATTTGAGAATATGCAGACCAAATGATCTGTCAGCCAATATTGGCAGACAACAAATATACGCAATTTTTCCTCAGTTTCTTCACGTGCTCTACTCACTAGGTTGTATGCATTTTTATACAAGTCACAGTAAAAAAAACATACGTGCGTTATTACGTCTTAATTGTAAGTTTCATCTACCACGTTAGGGTTCACAACCTGGCATCCTTAATTATACCTTGCGTTTCAACGGCACGAGATACTCCTTTCATACCTCGGAATTCTTCTCGATATCGCCTGAGCCCAGAACTAAGAGAGTCTCGACCGAGGTGCGATCATCGTAAGCCACATAACACATTGAATTATAAGCTTCAATGTGCCATTATTTAAAATTGTTGTCCTTTGTGTTTTGGTATGCCGGCTAAAGCTGAACTGTTGTTTATAGAGCGTTTGGAGATGTGCTTGCTTGCATCAGACGTCACTTTATGGGTAGGGTTTATGGGGTCACAAATGGGGACAGTAGCAGTTAGTTCTTACCAATCAGCTTATCGATATCACCAACCATGGCCTTTTCGTTTTGGCAACATCCATTTACAAGCAAATACAATCACAAGCAAAAAAAAAAGGCAAATGTGCCCTCGATGTATTGTTCTTTATCTTTATATGAACGGATTTCAGGTTGTTAGACGTCCGTTGGGTGGATAATTATGACAACGGTCACAATGTACTTAGTTGTAGTCAACTGCAATTATACGTTACAATTTCTTGTCTGGCTGGGGTCAAAGCATTTTGCTTTGTATTCATTATTTAAAATGTGGGCTTCTATTTCAATTAGTCATTTACACTAATAATAGTCATAAAAATAATCCCAGCGGATTATCAGGCACAGCGGCTGCTTTAATAGTGCAGTTTTCCTTTGATCGCCCGTTTCAGTCCTAACACCCCATGCACCCTCCCCAGAAAATATCAAGAGTTTTTGTATTTTGTTTCAATTCGTTAGTCTGTGACGGACAAAGCGCGCCTACTTTGAGGACTTCACTTCAATGCAAAGATTATCGTTGTACGCTTCGGATGTCCTCGTCTCTATATGTCTGTTACTCATTTCTTCTATTATTAAAATCAGTCGCATTGTGTCTAGCTGTGGAATTTATCGATTCTACTTTACGCCTGTTTAGAGAGATATTGTCGCTTAGCTCTAGCAGTAAATGATACGGTAGAGAAAAATACATTCTTCTCACAATTGAACTTTTTACAGGAATACAGCATCTTATGGCCTAGTATGAATGTACTTTTTGAAAACCATTTGAAGTTCCATGGGTTGCGGCCATACAGAACTGCTTTGAAGCCAAGCCCGAAAATTAAGTTCTTTCCCACTCCGAGGTAACTATACACGTAACCTTTGCTATAAGGTAATTAGCCTTTCTACATAGGTGGTCCTTTTTCTCGCTTCAATTCAACTGGAAAACGTATCTATCTCTTGTATTTTTGCACTTCAATATTAAACAATTTTGCAGAAACAGGCTCATTTTCGACAAAATAGAACCGGTAATCTTAGCTTTAAGGATTTTGGCAAAATCCTCGGTTTCGCAAATGGTCGCCTCTCCTTTCTATTATTTTGAATCATAGACGTAACAATTATGCACTAATACAGTTTCACTTGACCGATGAGCGCATCGGAAACAACGTTTGCCTAATGAAGAAAAATGAGCGAGAGCGCGATTAGACCTTAAGAAACTCTTTCGCGCACGGAATACGCGTTCCCAATCCTGACGAATCTTCCAGCCTTTATATTAAGCCATTTTCCTAAAATATCTTAACGGATTATGCAATTTAATAGTACTCGCAATTATTGCAAACATTCGCAAGTAACTTGGGGCTGTGATTCAAACGACTAACAACGATTCTTGTTTCAGACGTTTCGTTCCATCAGGCAGCGTCGAGCCTACCACTTTGGTGCCTTCTATACTTTCGGTAGTATGCTTCGTTCCTAAGTTGTTTTTTGCTGTTGAAATAATACGAGACAAAAAAAGCCATATGAAGGTAAGAACTTAACATGAAACTTCAACTTACATCAATCAGGCTGAAATTTATTTTGAAAATACATTTCAGCCTGATTCAACTTAGCTCTTCCTCTGAATCTACAAAATAACGATGGTTAGTTCAAGTGGACAGGTTCTGGCTTTAACATCACGGCCTTCCAGGGCCCCTTCGCGGGTAATTTGCTTTCCGATAGACGTAAGTTACGACTGTAGCAAAGCGGCAAAAAATCTCCGAAAATCTGTCCCAGGGTTATTGAAGCGATACGCCTATAGATGGCTGCAACAAATACTTTTCCGTAGTATATTTTCCTAAATCGTAATATAAATAATAATTCTAGCGAAGTATTAGTTTTTTTTCTCCTTTCAGGATCTTTTATACATGATGTGCTTACCACAATTCGTATATTGGCTCAATATTTTCCTCGTTGGGTTTTCTACATTGGCTATACTTATGTGTACAGCCTGGGTAAGTTGACAAGACAAGTGGGTGTGGAGGCTCAACAGTGTTTGATTCTTATTGGCAGTAAAATAATTATCTAGAGCATAATTGAACGGCGGAACCAACAGTGAACGAAGGATACTGAAGTCGTTTTTAAACGAATCTTTTTTCGGTCTTCATTCATGCGTAGGTATTCTTTTGCTACCCTATTTTCGGTTCACACATGTACGCGTCGTCAGATCCGTCGCTTATTCTCACGATCTTCATCCTGTTTGCCGCTGCCGAAGTTTTGCAAATTCTTCTGATTACCGTTATTTTCAACTCAAGTAAGTACGACTATTATCCACCCTCGTCCGTTTGTGAAGATAGGCGTAGTTGTTGCGCGGCCACTTGTCATCCTGCCGGACCTTATTTGAAACCGTGCATCGACAAGAAAAAGATCTCTTAGAGTCGGTGGAAGGAGTAGGGGTGTAGGAGGCTGTAGGCAAATGTAAAACTACGTGTACATTTTCATTGCTTTCAAGCTTTAGCTTCGAAGGCCACGTTATCAACTGAACTGGAAAAATCAAAATTGTTTAGCGTGCTGTACCTGCATCATCTTTATTAATTTTATTTTCGTATTATGAATCTTATGTTTTGAAAATCATGCTCTAACGATGCATAGCGGTATTTGGAGGCGTCGCTGTCGTTGGTGTTTTCTATCTATCGCTGTTTTCTGCTGTGGAGTACACCAGAGAAGAAGACTATATTGAGGTGTCCGCGGCAATAAAGCTGGCTTCAGCACTTCTTCCTGTTAATGGGCTACAAGTTATCGGAAACATTATTACTAATCGAGAACTTTCGAGTGAGTGCTGAATATATGATACCTGGTAATTGTGATTTGGAATTGATGCAATTTAAGGAACACATAATAAGAGTAGAAATCAATGAAAAAAAAAAAACTGTTCAAAAACACAGTACTTAATACGAGCAATAACTTCAACATGGCCAGCCAGATTATTATTAAATAATTAAACATCTTCATATATACCACTTAAATTATTAGTTTATTCATCTTAAAAAGAGATGCTTAATAAACTGTCCAGAGCAAATTCACAATATAGGGAAAAACTTAGTTTCTACGCTTACGGCCACTGAACTGATGCGTTGAACTACAGTGGGCGTCGCATTATAATCAGCCCGTTAGAAGTGCGGGGTACTGCAGAGCAAGACTGCATAATATAGATAAGTACGTATCAAAACCGTTAACTCACAACCTGCCCGTTTCAATGCCAAGTTATCCATAGGTATACCAGAAGTTTTGACTCTACAAACGCTGAATTTGTCCGACGTATAATTTGTGCGTACTTGTATAGTGATGCGCGCTTCTAGAGAAAATAAAAGCTAGACCTTATTCTGCATCTTGAAGAGGAAATCGGACCGAATAGGTTAGAATAATGTTATCAATTTTTAATTACCGGCACTTTTTTCTTCCGTTGTTTTGCCATGTTCCCATACCATTTGAAGTATTGCTTCATTTTTGTCCTGAGAGCCTGCTGTGTGTGTCGTCCTAGCAACGATATTTACCGCGAGTTAAGCCTTTGACGAAAAATGTATTAAGGTATGCGTCGACTGTTTTTGTCGATTACGCGGCTTAATTCGTCTAAATCTTTCAAAATTGGAACAGCGTCGCGCGGCCACCACCCCAGACCCGTCATACACAGGACTCCTTTTTGCACATAATTTTTAGCAGTTAGCCGGACGTATGCTCTTTTTGTAATAATGCCGATTTACACTCTTAAAAAAAAGACTTATTCGCTGTCCTGTTTTAGATGTTGGCGTTCGATGGACAAATATAGCCGTGCTGGAGCGGCCGCCGGACAACGTTTCACTGTTAGCTATGTTAATGGCAGTGCTGTTCTCCTGCGTAATGTACTCCTTTTTGATTTTCTATTTGAATGCAATTATTCCATGGCAGTCAGGAACACCTAAGCACCTGTTTTTTCTATGCCAATCAGCATCCAGCTCTTCTACACAAAATTTCGAAATAAACTTATCAGGCTCAACTAGCAACCGGGCCTCAATGGATCCCGGTGACCCTTCAAACCTTATCGAAAAGGTAACCCCAGGTACGGCCTCTCCAATCATTAAAATGTGTAATGTCACTCATCAGTTCGGTAATAAGAAGGTTCTTGATCACCTATCGCTCGAGTTGTATCGAAATCAAGTCACAGTACTTCTCGGTCATAATGGCGCCGGTAAGACCACATTGATGGGCATTCTAACCGGGCTCTTTCCGCCGACGTCTGGTAGTGTACATATCAACGGGTTTGACGTACAGAAGAATCCTATGGACGCAAGGCGAGGTATTGGCGTGTGTCCGCAGATGAATGCCCTCTTTGATGATCTGACGGTGAAGGAACATCTTGAGTTCTTCTATGAAATCAAAGGTTAGTAGTAGCAGATGAATGTATTGCTAATAACAATTACGTACTGTTTGACCAGACACGGCAAGTGCTCAGAAACCCTTGACTGAACCATCAGCAACATTTCTGTAACAAAATTTACTTATTATAATAATTTGTTTTTGCCAAAATGCCATGCTTATTTCGTAAGTTCTTACCCACATTCCTTGACGAAGTATTTTAAAATTAGCATTACGCTTTATGAGAATAGCCGTCACTTTTGAAAAAAAATGTTATTTTTAATTTGGGATAAACTGGAGACAAAAACGTGATCCGTAGGTCATTTTGCGTAACAAATATAGAGACGTTAAACGTATATAGATTTTTCCTGATTTAACCAACGCTTAGTTTGCTTTCTGCTGAAAACCCTCAAAAAGGTTAGCACTGTTGTAATGTGACTAAATCGGTGCATCCGTTGGATCCCACCCTTCAGGTGGAGGTGAGGACAAAGAGGAAATAGAGAAACTCATATCGCAATTCGGATTGACCCCTGAACAAGATGAACTGGCGGATACGTTATCTGATGGGACAAAGAGGAGGCTTTGTATAGCAAACGCTATGGTTGGAGGAAGCAACGTAAGTCCCTGTATCGCTGTGTGTGTTTCAATTATTTTTCATAAAATCTATATTATGGCCTTAGGTCGGTCGGAAAGTAAATTTCGAGAGCTGTTTAAGCGTTGCAATATGCATTTCCAAATTTAGACGCTCTTTCTCGGACCGGTTCAGTATTTGCTATAGTGCTTATACTTTGGCTGGACTTATGGAGTCCAGAAGCTGGAGTGGGCACATAGCTTCTGTGCAATTAAAACGTCGGACCTAGAAACCTAGAATCTGACACGGCGTCCTTTATTACTTCTACTATTGAAAAATACCCTACACTTTCATGTGGATACCATGGTTGAAAAATTGATGCTTTGCTACCATTCTCAACGCAAGAAAGTCATGTGTGGAAACACCTTACCTGGGCATCTCAAAGGATTCGAAGGAATCAGAAGATATAATTATTATAATATATTATAAGATATATATGTATGTAATATATACAATTTAATAAAGCTAAAAGCTCTCCAGACATGCTAATATGACAAATGCGGGTTGAACCGGAGCTTGACCTATCAGACCAAGTTATAAAAAAAAAAATGACATGAAGACTTCTATAGAAAAGTTAAGGAGATCTTCTTTGTCGTAAGACAACACATGGAAATCCACATGCAATCGTGTGGATTTGAGAACCCGAAAAATGCCGGGAACATTTTAAAAAAACATCTGTTACATTATTGTCGACCTCATTCTATCGGTTCATTGTTCGAATCCCTTCAACAATAAAGGACAACCAGTCCCGACCAGAAAATAAGAATTCAATGGACTGCCGCCATGGATAATGCTTTCATTAGTTGACGTTCATCTGTTGTTCGGACGATAGAAAAAGGGTACGGAGCATCTATTACATTTTAGTAGAGAAAGTTAACATCATTCAACGGTTAGCCAGCCGCAGTCTTTGAAATGGCCTAAAAAAAGAAATTACTTTCTGACCGACTTAATAGCTAAACGCTATCATGAAGCCCATATTATAGCTAGAACTAGGACTTATTTAGCTGTAGATTCTAACACTTTTAGCAGGAGCAGTTCTAATCAACGATATTATGATATAACGGATATCAACTTCCCAATATCCTCATAGTAGGCGCTAAGGTGTAATGTAAAAGAATGACAGTGGAAAATAGTTAATACCTTTCTAAACGCTGAAAATGATAATCAAGGGAAAGCAGTCAATTTCAGATTATTATCCTTGACGAGCCGACAACCGGCATGGATCATCACATCAGGAGTAAAGTTTGGAGAATTCTGCAACGGGTACTTTTTTTTGTTATTGGGCTTCAAAGTTTTCTTTTTTTTTTTTCTTTAAATTTGTCCATCATCTAAAGTATCATCCTCTGGAACGCTACATGAATTCCAAAGGTCGTGATTAGCCAGATAGCTCATCAACATATAGACGATAGTATTATGTACTGTATAATTAATTAGTAATTATAAAAATAATATATTGTTTTTAGAACTATTCATTCGAAACATTTTCTATAGCTATTTTTTTTTATCTACACGGAATGTCCGCTCCGACTGTCGATCACCTGTTCCTTAACCTGGTCCGTTAAGAACCTTTCGAACTGGCATTTGCAGGCGCATCGCGATCGAACAATACTTATGACAACACACAACATGAATGAAGCGGATGTTCTTGGCGATCGTATCATTATTTTAGCAAATGGAAGGATAAAATGCGCTGGGTCACCCCTTTTTCTTAAAAAGACATTCGGTAAAATCATCGCTTCTGCTGCTTATATAGCGAAAGTACTCACACAAGCCGGCCAGGCCTGTATTTACACCAACATAATTATTCGAAATCGGAAAATCTATAGTATATTCTACGTTGTCCTAGTTGGTCACGGTCAATAAGTATCTAAGAAAAGTTTCTCACGTAAAAAATCCATTTTCTGCTGCGATCCACATGGAGTTAGAACAAAGAACGAGTTAGAGCACCTTCGTCCCGGCCGGAAACACGGTTGCCAACCCTTAAAAACACCATGAGATATGACAGCTATAATAGTTTGCAGATTAATCGATGTGACCTTTCATTGACTCTTCTTTTTCGCTATTGTATGTCTGTTTTTGTCATCAGAAACGGGATATAATCTCCGATGTGTAAAAGCCAGCCCTAACACTTTCGTGAACCTAACGGTCGAACAGGTGCAACGTTGCTTGAAAAATACTCAGGTGAACTCCTAATTTTTCTTTGCGTTGCCGCTTACATCAATATAAAGCAAAAGACCCATGAAGTTCCTACAGATTACTTCGAATCTAGTAATAGTCAATGGTACCAAATGGCCAGTGAACAGATTTGTACGATGTTATGATTGTTGATGATGTTATAATTGTTGATATGTCAGTGACATGTACCTGAATAGAGAGAAGTGACTTCTGCCCGACAGGTCCAAAGAACATCCGAGGGCAGTCAGGAATTTTCTGTAAGGCTTGGCTTCCCCACCACCGAACAGTTCATTAACCTTTTCCGGGAGCTCGAAAAAAAAAAGGTCGAACTTGGGGTAAGTTGCGTCATCTACTAGATGCAATACATTATTTTACGTGCTTGTAATGGACATCAGGCTTACCCACTCGCTCTATAATATTAAAATGTAACTAATACATCCTTGAAGCAAAGGCTCTTGAGCGTCTCTACGTCAAGCTCAGTGGATTAACATAGACCACATTAATAAATTATTACCAGCATCCTAATCTCACCTTAGTAAATTACGTATTTTTTTTTAGGTAAACTTAAAATCGCAATTCTATCTTCGCTTTCTCGATGCGACTCGGGTTGAATAATGTAATGCCGAAGTAATTCTCAGTGTTTCAGAACACCCCCTAAAGCCACACATTGAAAGTCATTAGAACGGGGTAAGACATCTTGTATAGGCCTTAAACGTTCTGTGACATGGCCTCCCGCTAGTACTCGGTATGGAAACGGAGTCTATGGTCTTAAGTTTACCGAGCGTGCACGAGATCAGTCGAAAGGGTGTCTCGTTTCCCAAGATTAGCCTTAGGCATTTTCTAATAATCGTAGTAGGAGGCGCTATTTTGTTGCATCGACGACGAATCGCAGCATGACGTGATGATGTCTAATGAGTATGCAGGAAAAAGGACAGCGATGTATAAAAAAATTGCAGAAAAAAAATAACAAATGCTATAGAAAAGTCACTATTTATGGCCTTTACTTACAATGCACAAGTTTTTATTGTGAAAATACAGTGTGTAAATGAAAAGACTCAATTGCAAAAGGGTGAAAATTTTCTTTTATATGAATATACTCTTACAGCGAACCCAGTGTGCGTGGGTAACACTGAACAGTTGTGCGTGTTCTGAGCAGTCGGTGATACCCTCTAGACCGTTGCCGGTACGAACTATGAAATTCAGGCTCAGCTTAAAAGCAGTCTTGATTTCTGAGGAGTCATTATCAAATGAAATTAGGCGACGTCTACCTTTTGAAAACTCTCCCCAAATGAACGAGTAATAGCAAGTTCTTGCTATTGTTCAGCTCCGTTCAATATAATTTTTAAACTTGACGAGTTGACCGTTCCGAAGGACAGACCTGCTGTGTCTTCCAAAACTTTATTGGCACGTATTTTTGCCTCTAGCTTTAGATAGGCCTATTTCACGAACATCTTATAAATATAGTTAATAGCCTAAGCGACTGGGAGTGTCGGCTGAAAAAGTCGAATCACGGTTATTTTCAGTGACCTGTTCCTGGTCATCATAAGAAGCTTCATAAAGCGTCCTATGATGACCTTTACATTAACGAATGTTCGTCGATCCTTGCTGACGGGGGGGCGGGGGGGATTGCAGATTGTCAGCTGGGGCGTTACAGTGACAACTATGGAGGACATCTTTTTTAAAGCTACAAAATCGAACGAGATGGAAAAGAGCTTTTCGAATCCGTCCGATGCATCTATTTGTAAGTCTCCCTACTTACTCGCACGTTTGTTGCTTTACTTTATAGGATCGGCTTCTGCCGAACAAATAAATTCGAAGCCGGTTCTACTTAGTGATTTGTACAACGATAAAGCAATAAAATGCGCAAAGGCACTAGCTGTTACATTATATAACATATTGTAAAATTTATCATAATCTATATAATAACGGTTTCATTAAACTCTAGGAATAATAATAATAATAATAATAAACTCTAGTAGGATCCCTATCATCCTACTGTCGAATCCAAAAACGAGATTCACCTTTTGTATTTTGTGTGTTTCTAATCGACATGGAAGCTAACTTACATTTTGATTAACCCAGTTTCGTAACGTAATGTTAAATGATTACACTCCTAGGTGAATTTCAACTTATCAAAAGTACACGAAAAGTTACGTTATTGCCGGACAGCCTTTTGAGCGTAGCAAAAATACGAAACTGGAACATTATACATAGGTTGAGCATTTCATATTGACCCATATTAAGACGATAAACCTAAGAAAACGACATTACGGAGCAGAGAAATCGGACAGATTTGTGTAGCGTGCTACTTATAATTCCAGCCTAACCAGCGCGCATCTACTATACAACGACGTACCACAATCTAATGACAAAAAACGCCCGCCTCGGCCAAATGCGGGTTGTGGCGGGTGGACGTGTGTCGTCGTTAACAAAGCGCGCTAGTACCACGTTGGGTCCGCATACCGCAAAGTCCCCCGGAACAAGAAATACTACCCCCACTCACAATTCACGGATTTAGAATGGCGGAAACTATATTAACTATGAATACGAAGCTGGTCCCCAACCCGATTTGCTCGAAATGTAAAGCATCCTAATAAATGTGATACAGTACCGCATTGGTACCAATTACTACCGGTATCGATTCTATGAGGACGACATATTGAAATTTTGCCACGTCCTTTTACAGCGCGATTACCTGTAATTATTCGAAGCACCGGAATTTTGCTCTATCTGAGGCAGTTTCACGCTCTATTCCTTAAGCGGGTGCGTGTTATTCGACGCCAGTGGTTTATGCTTATTCATCTATTTGTCATACCTTGCATCTTTGCGGTAGCCTTTTGTGGGTTAACTCGCTCCTTATTAGATCCCGCTGGCATGAAGGTAAGTAAAATCGACATTTACCATGTAGTCTCTAATAGTAGGTTGATTTTCAAGTATAATCATATTGTCCGCGCCTATGCCTTAGTCCGCTAGGATTAGATGAATAAGGTTCATATACATGAATACACATACACATGCATTGCTCATATCAGGACCACAGTCAACTTCGGCTCAAACTAACGTAAAATACAGAACAGTTCTGTTGACATTTTATGGGGCCGTACGATTAGGTGGTGGCGGTCAGTTCTCTGCGTTAGCAGTATTTGGACATGTCACCTTCCATTGCCACCGCTTGTCGCCAATATGAAAATATACGGGTAGTCTTATTTACGTAAACAATGTAGTAAGCCCAAAGGCATCAGGTAGGCGTTACCTTAAAAATGGATCGTTTTGTTAATTTCGTCTGCTCTACGACAACAAAGAAATCACGATTCCGCAGAACTATCTAGAAAAATGGTACCAGCTAGAGAGGACTGAGATCACTGTGCTTAAATTGTCTTTCGTCTAGAGTGTGGTCTACTACAAAACCTACTGACTACTACAAAGCATCTCGAAATTCAGTTTAAAAGCGGTTCGTCGGTGACAGTAAGCGCTGTAAATATTTTCCTTAAAAAAAAACTCACCGTTATCGAAGTATACTTAGTCCGCCCACCATGTTCATGTTACCACCCACCATGTTTATACTACAAAATTAAAGACTGTCTCGCCTCGATCTAAATATTATCCGACATGTCGAAATGTTCAATAACAATAACAAATGTCATTGGATATATTCATAAGTTTTCTACCAATGCCATACGCAGACATTGTGATATGTGCAGTGTCATGTAATACCACTCCCATATTTCAATGGATTTCAGTAGAAGGCCAATTGATTTCATGCCTTATCACAAGTGAGATGAAATTTTTTAAGTTTTAATTAAGTCTTTATATAAAAATCATACATTTAATTCTAGCTTTATTTGAACAGGAACCTGCATTGACCTATTCCTTTCAATCGTTTCCGCAACGAGAACGCTCCGAAGGCTTTGTACAACGTTCAAGGCTTGGTCTAACTTATAAATCGTATATGTTGAAGTTAGTTATGGAAGAGGATGACCTGCGAGTACACGTGTTGGATCAGGACACGAACGTGGAGGACTTTCTGCTAAACAAGGGTGTGGTTCCGGTCGTATTTGGCCATTTATGTGGAGCTACGTGCAAACCTGTAGATATGTTTATTCGCATTGCTCAAAACGTTACGTTACGCTACCAATAGCAACCTACCCGCCGAAGTCGTAGAATGAAGTGCGTCGGAGTCGAGGGGTACCATATAAATCAGGTTGAATAGAGTTGACTTGGATTTTACCAACGAATACCATCGAATCTATTTAATTATTTAGGTGACTATTGTTACGGGACTTTCAAAGAACGTTTAACAGGTGGGGTTATTTGTGACAGGCAATTTTACTGTATTAGCATCGAAAACTATAAAAAATTGAATATATAAGATACCTACCACGGAAGCTACGATGTGATTACTACTATATATGAGGATGTTAATTTATTCATTTATTTATACGCGATTTCGACGTTATTTGTTTGAAACTTAGCAACGTGTATTCAGTCACTAACGAGTGCATTGTCGCGGCCTACGTGGATGCAAATTAACACTGACTTTTGTTGAAATAGGTGCCTTATTATGAGGTACCTATTTTAGTCACGGTTTTTCTCCGAAGGCAGACTTATTCCCTTCAGCTTCGCTGAATAGACAGCACCTTCCCATCTAGCCAAATTTAAACATTACGTCAGGTAATTGTGTATGTATGATGTGTATACGTTTGCACTGTTACCTGGCAATACCCCACTTCAACATTTTTAAACCGCTATAGGACCTTAACAGTGGCGAATTTAAAGCGGATTCACAGGGCGTTTCATCTAAAGCCCGCCAATTAGTGTGTGCAAACACTCGTATCCCGGTAGGTTTCACCTACCGGATGTCTTACATTAAACAGAAATGCTAAAGAATGGCACTCATATCTGCGGTAAACACGCCATTTATTATAAATGATAATGCTTTATTTCGAACCTTGCGTCATTAGCAAACACCAGTCGTTTCGATTATAAGAACCTGTGGAAGATGGGCGTCACATTCGATCACTCGAAGCCGACAGAAGCTATATTGTGGATTAACGCGGAGCCGTTCCACGTTGTCGCTGCGGGATTGGTCCTCTGGCAGACCGCTGTACTACGTCAACTTTTGCGAAAATCAGAGTATGAAACGGCGATTGTCAATGTTAGGAATCATCCATTCTCCCATATTTTTCTAAAATATGCCAATACTACTTACGAAATTGAAGGTAAGTACTTTTAATTGAATCCACTAAACGTATCTATTACGTATTCGTCACTGAACTTAACAAGGGATACGCGATACAAATCCATTCAGTGCAATGATATGCTCGACAAATGTGAAATAGGGATCACGCCAGCTATAATAACGTGTAAGTTTGCTTGATTGCAGTCCGCCACTTGGTACATCTCTTGATTCAGCTGGCCGTTTCATTTTCGGCTTGTACTATGATCTTATTTCCGATTGAGGAACGCCTGTGCAAGGCAAAACTAGTAAGTATCAAATGAATACTACGTTCAGCTGATAGTTGTCATAGAAGGATATTTGGCAACAGATACGTTCATGCACGAAGTTCTAATAACAAGCTATGCGGTAAATCGGAACGTTTGGAAACGGAGCAGAGAACGAAATAAGTATGTCAAACAGGAAGTGGCACTTAAAAGCACTTGGATAAATATGGAACTGTTGTAGAATTGCTGAGGTTATCCACGATCGCTTTCGCGTTGGACTTTGTGACGCGCTACATTCAGGCAACATTTACGAAGCTGAAGTAACTGACAAGTTGTTATTGGTACATGTAGGACGTAAGTGAAGAATCGAACGATTACAAACTTATTTGGTCAATTAAGTTCGTTTTCAAATTTATGGTTGCCTTACGCGACTAATTGCTTACTTTCTATTTACACTTTGTATTTCTAAAAACCTCAGTTGCAAATGATGACCGGCGTCAGCAGAACTGTTTACCTAGGAGCATCGTTCACTTTTGATCTTCTTACAATTTTGGTTTCGGCGACTGCTATATCCTTTGCACTAGCCATATGCAATGCAGCTGATTCTTTAGCGGAAGAAATTGAAATTGGTGGTAAGTTATTGCTCCCGGAACTTTGCGTCTCTTTATGGTAACTTACAAAATGCTCCAACGCTGCAGAGTACAACTGCACATGTTAGGTCAAGTTCTTTAAATATATCGATGTCCATTAACGTTTATGTCAGTACACCAACACAAAAATAAATAGAAATAAAATAATAGAATCAAATAATAATAATAAAATAAAAATAAGTAGAAATAAAAGTATTTATTTCTACGTGATATACCAAATCTGATATATGGTGAGATTAAATACCTCTACTTGATCACATTTATTGTGTGGCATTTGTCGTTAATAGGACATGGACGCCGGCTTTTTTTCTAGCCGGCTAGAAGTTTAGTTATCCACACTACCGCGCCGAAGAAATACTAGCTGCGGTCATTTCAAAAGTATTATATATATTTATATATACCCGTTTATATAGACTCCCCATTCCTAGTGCCTTATTATTCATGTCCTAAAGGTGACAAATCTACAACGGATACGGAAATGTGACTTTTCTCAATTCGCTATGCGTTATAGCAAGTTGGCTGTTAATTTATTTTGCAGCGGCTACGTGCCTTCTACTGTCCACGTACGGCGCCATGATGATCTTGGTTTCGTATGCCTGTTCGTATATGTTTAGTTCACTCGGGGCAGGCTTCGCGATGCTGCTTTTGGTCACTGCTATAGGGGGCGGTATAATCGTGCCACTTCTGCTTGGGGCAGTCCTTTGTACGTTCGTATATGGGTACCTTTTGCCATAGATAGTACTGCTCACCTGTAATTTTTGTGCCTGCTAGTACTTTGAATTGTTGGTGTGAACATATTATTAATGTATTATTATGATTAGTGTGTACCGTGATGAATTGCGTGCATGAAATGGTGGAAGTAAGTTCAGAGACGCTAATGACGCGTTGCATTCGGAAGTGCGCACCATGAGAAGCTTAGGAAATGGTTAGTTTTACCTACAAATTAGAAGACGCTTCCTAATAAATTACAAACGTGGTTTGCAGTTCGCTGTAACCATGGGCCATAAACACGCATAAGGTTCCAAAGCTTGGCTATTCAAAGCTATTACAATCAGAGTGAGGTCCATAGGCCCCGATTATTGACAAGGAACAGAAAGATTGTGGGAGGTTACGGAAGAGGAACTTGATTAAGAAATCAATAATGTTAATAGGGGGACACATGAGTATATTTATAGCCAAGTAGCTCAAGTATGTTTCTTTAATCACCCTCATCAAATAATTTTTTGTCGCCTATCGACGGGTTCACTCTCAGACTTCAAATTAGCTTGGGCTGGAGAGCTATGGAAATGAAAAGCTGACAGACGACAAACATAGTGGTGAGCGCAACCTAGTAAAGTAGGCTGCTTTGTGGGTTTTGCGTAATCTAAAAGGAATTAAGGTCGAAGCAACGCTAAGATCACTGGAAACCCTCTTTTTCGTGCGAATTATAAGCCAGTTTTGAATGAATGAATGAATGAATGAATCACTTGTTTGGATTTAATTTTTTTTTACGGGGACAATTGTCCTCGTAAAAATATTAACGGAAATTGGGGCTTATACTACAAATACTGTATTATTCTCCTGAAGTGAGAAGGAGAACGCAGCGTGGCGGGAAGGTCTGTAGGTTGCAAGCCAGGCCCTTTGAGATGTGAAGATCCAATGGTTGCATTACTTACCTTATTATACATATAAGTAGAGCCTTTCGGAGAAAATAACGACCACGACTACGCGATTTGTGTGATTCGCCAGTAGCCCGACCTCTTCAAATCTGGCTCCTAGCCAGGCAAGAAGAAAACTATAGTAGTTGGAAAAAGAGCGTTACCAACTAGTAAATGTCAATGGAAGGAAACACTGCCGTTTCTGGTTAAAGCTATGAAATTAACCTTATCTGTAGAATAAGAAAAATCGGAGCTCGTGACGATAGCTCCGCTAATCGTGGAGACTACTGGTGGGTGTGATGTGGGTGGAATTCCGCCCTAAACGGTACGCATTAAAAAAACAAATGTTTTTTTCATATATTGTATAGGTTTTGTATTTGCTACAGCTGTCTGTGAAGCATTGCTCCAAACAACTGACTCCACCCAGCACACCCAGTTTAGCTTCAGGCTTATCTCACGTGTGCCCATATTTAGTAGGCAAGCATGGTGCTATTAACTATGCAATGCCTAACGGGACTACCAAACGTAAATCAGCCTAATACTATTTCATTTTCTATAACCTAATACGCGAAAACCTATTTTTTACATTTTTACACTAACCTTAATTCGTTAAGTGTTAACATTGTCGCATGCCACTGTTGGAAATAGCATAAACAACAGATAAGCTTGTACTCTCAGCTCTGAACTTACCGGCTGAATACACTCTCTCAAAAAGTTCTAACAGAAACGGCAGAATATATCCCGTTCGCGGTCAACTGTGTTCCACAGATTGCAGTTCTAATGGGCCTTTCTAATTTGCGGTTAATGGCAAAATCGAAGAAATTCTGTGAAAACTTTACACCTACTCAACTTACGCGTTACTGCCAGGGTTCGGAAAAACGTGCCTCGTGTTGCCAGCGTAAGTTGATACGATCAGAATAATTGTAAATCGTACAAATCTTCTGACATTGTATATCTAAATCAGTTGCTCGCTATACGGTCAGCTTTTTGATAATCTCTGAACAGATTGCTATTTAATGCTCTTCTTTCATATGTAAACTGTAATATACTGTACCTGTTTCACTGTGTTGGTTACAGCGTGCAGTGTCACCGACCCAAGTACAAAGTTTTGCTATAAACGGGAAGACTTGTTCCAAATCGATTTGAATGCTGGAATAGGCTTCCAGGTAATCTTGAATCATTTTATTATGTTACGAATTAATTAACCGTAGCCTTCTCCGTCATACGTTACTCTTACGAACAATACAGCAGATAGAAGCGTCGTATCGGGACATTAGATGGGATTTTTTCGAAACCAGATGGGCAAGGTATTGGTCTTACATATGTCAGACAAGAATATAATATAGCACCTCTGAAATAATTCAAGGGTTTTATGACAATCTAATAGTGAATGGGTTATTGCACGACCGCTGACGTGCACGAAATGCATCAACTAGAGAAATTTTCCACAACCTGCAACTGAAAAATGGCTGTATTGAAATACCACTATCATGGTTCCTGAATCTAACAATTATTAGTGTTACGCATAGGAGCATCATACTCCTCATAATTAGCGAAGTTTTTAGTAGTTCAGTAGCATGTTAATTAAATTAAACGTTTATACGCAATGGTACAGGAAGTAAGATTAGCAACGAGGAAAGGTGGACTTAGTTTCGAAAGAAGCCTGCTCTAACTCTTGGCCAACATTGATCATCTAAAATGGTGTTCTGTGAAAAAAAAACTGCCTGATTCGTTCCCTCGAGTAGAGTAGGCTTAGCCCCTAAGCGATTAACTAACTAGCATGATCATGCCGGGTTTTCTTTGCTCAATTCAGATGATAGTTCTATTGACCGGCACTGGGCTAGCGTTGGGATTACTAATAGCTACGGAAAGTGGCCTGCTTGGCTGTTGCTTCCGCCTACTGACCTGGGTCGTATCGCCAATCTCCCAGCAACATTCCCAGAATACAGGTATGAAATGGTTTTCCTTCTTGCTTTATCCTGCAACGATCACAACAGTAGATTCACACTAGATAACCCTTTTCTTCTTTTAAAAAAAGAAACAAATTTACAGCTTTCATATACTCTTCGAAACACATTAATAATTAGACCAAAAAGGTGCTTTCATTGCTAGCTCGTAACGTTGCTGCATACTAAGGGAAGCTGTGGAAGTATAAAAAGTGGTCTGCTTTTGCTTAATCACAGTCGTCACCTGGCCACAACTTTTCCCATTGTTTTGGAAAACGTTTTGTTGAGAACTAGGGAAACCCAATCAGGATGACAAGTCCACAAAAGAAAAGCAAAAATGGTTCTTCAATCGTTGAGTAATTGATGTGAAAAAAGTTTGGGGATACTGAAAGAGAACTAGACTGACTGCAAACATAACAAAGGTCCACATCATTATTCAATGTGCGTCTATTTTGCGCTGCGATATTTTTACCGATCGTTTTCGGATATTTCTAATTATGGAAAATTCGCTTGTTCATCTTGTTTGGGAAGATTAATTGTTAAATCACCAAAAACGTATCACAGACTCAACAAACGCAGGTCTTTCGAGCCAAGTTCCATAAGAATCACTTTGAAATCTCATTGAACGGGAACGTTTGGTAGTCTGTGTGAGCGCAGTTCGCCTTCTCGACATTTCTATGAAAAAGGCTAACTAGAGCATGTAAATTTAGATAGCCTCATCACACTATCACTATTCGTAATATACGCCTTCACTACAGATACACGACAGGCTAACTGGTGTCTCTAACGCCATATTTGTTTTTTCCGGCAGCTAACTCTAATCTACAGCAGGCCTTTGGCTGGTCGTTTTAGGTAACTGGGCAGATCTGCTGACTGTAATTATCGCAATTTCTATAAATATTTGGATTTTCACTGGAAAACGTCTCAATTTCTAGATTCCACGATTCTTTCCATGCATTTTTCATGTGTCAGTACATTAAATAGCACGTAAAAAAGCTGCCAGTATTGATCCAAGAATTGACGTCTATTTTGTATTATCAGCTGTCGGGCCATCGCAAGAAGATACAGATGTCATTATTGAACAACATCGAGTCGAAAATGCCATTGCGACAGGAAATCAGTCTCGTTACGCCCTTCTAGCGCAAAACCTGACGAAAATGTTCGGACCTTTGATGGTAGTCAATCAAATATCGTTTGCTGTAAAGAAGAAGGAATGTTTCGGCATTCTTGGAGTTAACGGTTCAGGCAAAAGCACAACACTTAATATGATTACAGGCGATTTGGAGGTCGACGATGGAAACGTTTATGTCAAAAATTCAAATTTGCGCACTTCGCTTCGTCTATACCAAACCTATATCGGCTTCTGTCCACAGTCAGATGTTCTTCTCGATAAACTCTCGGGCAAAGAGATGCTCGAGTTGTTCTGTGCTCTTCGAGGTGTACCCCGCAACCAACAGGCCTCACTTATCGAGCACATCGTATCCTTGTTCGATCTTGAGCCCCATACCAATAAAATGACCTCGACCTACAGCGGTGGTACCAAACGTAAGCTTTCAATATGTTTGGCGATAATCGGTAACATGCCCATGATTATTCTCGACGAACCGACGGTTGGAATTGATCCATCGGCGCGTCGAAAAATTTGGTCGATGATAACCGAGACTCAAAATAGAGGCTCGGCCGTCATTTTGGCTTCACGCTCAGTGGATGAATGCGAAGCTGTTTGTGATCGCATGGCTGTTGTGGTTAATGGAACTTTCCAATGCCTAGGTTCACTGCAAGAACTCAGATCTAAGTTCGGCCAAGGATTTATGGTGGTAATCAAACTGAAGTCACTCAGTGATAACTCCCTCGTTCCTAGAGTGATTGAAGAGATGGGAGAGCATTTTCCCGGTGACTGCGTACTTAAGGATCGTCAACAGGTTGGCATATACGCTTTTGCAGACCTTCACAGTACATTTATATATTCTATAGCTATACATGAGGTACCTAGATGCACGGCGTGTGTGATTGAAACCTAAATAGTCGCTGGCAGGCTGTCAATTCTGTGCACGTACCTATACTGTGAGCATATATGCCTGTTACTCTACGCTTATAGTAGTAAACACTATCAAATCAAGCTAAGCACACTTCAGAGATTACTGCATATACATATATTGTTGTCTATATAGACAACATAAGACATTGTCTTACGAGCAGAAATTCTATAATTTTTCCGAGGAAAGCCCACGTAGTTGATTCTGCATTCAACTTGCAAAATTATAATCAAGTATATCAAAATCATAATCTAATTCCTCTACTACGTCCCGTTATATGAGGGTGACCGTAGCGTAGCTCTAAGAAGGACCTCGTCAACTTTGATATTTTCTCAAAGCAAGTTTAGTGCGGGTAGATAGACTCTATCTTAAGGTCTAATCATGATTATTTAGAGAAATATCAAAAAATTACTTCGTTTATTAGGAGTAACATCGACGTTTTTGTATCAAAAATTGAAGCAATAATGCTGTTTGATAACAACGTATAGACAATGTAGATCCGTATAGATTTGCATGTTTTAATTTTTCGGCGTCACGTCGCTCACTCCATCCCGTTAAATAATACCGCGTCGGGCTCCTGAAGGTCCATGTAATTTAGAATTATATCCTTGCATAATAAATAGGGTCAATTGATGACGCACGTGTTGATTTACTGGTAAAAAGTGAGAAAAAAATAGGTACCGAAACGCAAATGCTGTACTGCTACTATTAAAAAAACGGGAAATGAATCGATCTGACAATGTGCTTAGTCACATGTGTATATAAATACAGTCGGAAGTTTCTTAATGAAGGGTACTTCTATGTTGGAAGGTAGGTATGAACTACGACGGCTGACATCGCCATGTTTTTTTGTTTTTAATTCTCAGTGTTTGTTGCACTTTCATATCATGAACCGGAAACTTCTTTGGAGTGAACTGTTCGAAAAAGTGCAAAAAGTTAAGAAAGCATTCGATTTCGAGGACGTTGTCGTATCGGATTCAAGTCTTGAGCAGATGTTTTTCGCGTTTACAGAGACTAAAGAGGTGGTCAGTGTGTAATGCATTGGCTCCTTTAACGCCTACCATTGAGCCATAATAATAAAACTAATTTGTTCTTGTTGTTAACACTATGGATACTGAGAGAAACAAATCATATATATTTTCCATAAAAGCATAACAACCTAATATATACAACTACTGAGAAACTTGTGACCAGTGAACGAGTACGTAGAGCTAATGCAGCTGAATGTATTACAGGCAGAAAATTCAAGGTCTTAATCACCAAAAATAACCACAATAAATTTCACAATTTTTGATGTCTGGAGAAATTTCCTGAAGGCCAAAGGGAGCCTTTGGGAGATCTAATGGGGTGTTGACGTTTTGGAATTTTGCCTGCTGTCGCAACTGAACCTGTGTAATCTGTAAATCACTTGCTCCAGAATGCTATGAAAAAAACAGACTCGTGGTACAGCAATAAAATTAGCCCGTGCTTCATTCATTCTAGAGTGAATCATTATGGCAATGAGAAATACCCCACGTGGGCCACAATCTACGTTCGCGCAACAAACGACGAGTCTAATGAGATGTGAGAAATTTAATCTTCTTGTATTGCCATATGCTATTTTGTGATTAAGGGAAGCCTGACTGGTTATGTGAACAAAGTACCCCCTCACTGTCATTGTCGTGGACATTACCTGCTGACGGACACGGAGTGCAATATCGATAGTCTAAAATTAATTGAACACTTGCCCCGTCTTTTGGAATCCTATAAGAAGAGTTAAAGGAACCTTGAATTTCAAGCATTATTTCAAGGTTCCTTATCACCAAAAAAGGGGGCTCATTCAATCTAAACAGAGGGGGCTTCCAACAAAGGAGACAAATCAATGAAACAGTGCTTCTGCGCTCTTGCACCATTGATTGTTGGAGGAATCACACCGCGATCAATGAAACAGTGCTTCTGCGCTCTTGCACCATTGATTGTTGGAGGAATCACACCGCGATAATTGGGGTTTCTCAAAGTATCCCCCCAGAAGTCGAGAATCTGATACTTCTGCTCACAAAAGTTGACGTGGGGAACTGCCTCTAACTAATATATTAATTGCACCCAGTTACTGGACAGTAGAAGAATACGAGAAGCCGGTGATTGATTCTTTTGATGTTTTATGGCAAGAATGGCAACGTGACTACTGTGCAATTAAAAAAATTTATTACATATATTCGATGCGTACGTACAACATTGTCGATAATTTGTGAAACGTTTCTTGCTACACACTTCAATAACAATAAAATGACGCTTGTATATATAAATCCTTATTTGTGATTCTTGCTGTTGCTTCTACTGACACACGTTCCGCCAGACGTTAGTCCTGATAGAATGGATAGCACTCGCGGCGGTGCAAACTTCGCAAATTTGTCTCTATCAACGTCGCCCCGTCGTCCCCATTACATTTACGCCAATCTGTTTCTTTTTTCTCTTCTTCGTTATTCATCGCATGTTGCAAATACTACGAAGCTTGCCCGACAAACCTGAAACTAATTGTTGTCCTGCCAAATCAATGTTTGTGACTGGTCAGACGGGACGTATAGGGCTAAGTCTTGATACGCCGCGTACCCTACAGCACCTTCGTCTTAAACTGAAACAGATTAACGAGAAGACTTCTGCTGATTAAGCTTATTCCCCATGGAAACTTCCAACAGGCTATTGTAATCATAATGACGATACTTGTGTATTATATAATAGATGTGGTTACATTTTGAGATTTCAGATTGACGCACATCGAAGGTTTACAGCAAATGTAACAGGAAACGCATGACTGAGTCAAGGCAAACATGAAATTAAATACATTCTGGCACTTCTTTTAAGCACACAACTTTCGGAACATGCTCTCTACTATAGTGTTCGAGGTTTTTCAAAAGGCTAAGTACCTTCCCCCTCTTATTTTTACCATGGCAGACCTTTACGCTTAAATGCAGCCAAATATTTGATAAACTGGCTCTCTGTCTCTGTCTGCCTGTGGCAAACTCTTTATGATGGATGAATAAGCAAAGTTACCTGCAGTGCATCACCCGCATCATCCGGGGCGTTACTTCGTTGGGTCTTTGTGAATGCAACGAAGATTTGCTCGAGGCTCGTGTCCGACACAACAACATCCTCAAAATCGAAACCCTCTTTTAACTCTTGCATCCGTTCGAATAGTACGCTCCAACGAAGGCTCGTATCCGTGATGTGGAAATGCAGCAAACACTATATATGAATAGAAACATCGACAGTATTTAAAGCTCTCCAATGATTTTTCCCCCTTTTTAGTTTATTGACACGTTATACAAGCTACATTGGGTAATGCCTTTGCACACATGATTAGTTTAATGAAGAAATGCTTGATCAGATAGCAAAGTTACTTGCCTGGTAGTTATCCTTAAGCTTATTTTCGCCGGGGAAGAGCTGATCCATTAAGGTGCAGACCTGAGGCACAACGATTGACTCGACGGCAGAAGGCTTCAACTTGATAAGGACCGTAAAGCCTTGGCCAAACTTTGCTTTGAGATGCTGCGGCGAACCGAGGCAACGGAAACTGCCATTGACCATAATCGCTAATCGAGAACATAACGCTTCACATTCTTCCATCGAATGCGACGTTAAAATCACAGCTGTGCCCAGGTCTCGCTGCGCTTTCATCAAAGTGGCCCAGATCTTACGGCGGGCCACCGGGTCAATACCAGCCGTTGGCTCGTCGAGAAACAGCACAGCGGGATTACCAATCATTGCTAAAGCAATAGAAAGCTTCCTCTTGGTTCCACCGCTGTACGTGTTCGTCGGCTTGTTCGCATGCGTGCCCAGATCCGCTAGGCCCACCATTTGATTTACGACTGACTCTGTCTGATCATATGATACGCCTCGAAGGACACAGAACAGTTCGAGCATTTCTCGACCCGACATATTGCCCAAAAGGGCGTCGAATTGTGGGCAATAACCGATATAACCTTGAAATCGGCGCAACGAATTGATCAGGTCGGCATCAACTACATATGCATTTCCTTCGCTTGTGACCAGGTCACCGGTTAGCAAACCAAATGTTGTCGTTTTACCAGCTCCGTTGACGCCCAGTAAACCAAAACACTCGTGTGGATCGACACAAAACGAGATATTATCGACCGCCTTGAACCTTTCGAAGTATTTGGTCAACGCATGCGCAACTAGAGCGTAAGTACCTTGCCTGTCCTCCGAAACGACCAACTCGACTTTGCGGCGTTCAGCCACAACGTCAGCGTCTTCTTTGGTTCTTACCGATGCTGTAGGATCGAGAAAATCAACACCAAGAGAGACAAGACGACGACAATATCGTAATACTGAGAACTGTCAATTCCCGTGTGTTCTGCCAATAACTCCCGTTGCACAAAACACTATTGAAATTAAGCATTCCAGCGGGAATGTACGGATTAACTGATCATACACCTGAGGAATGTTTTAACGGAGGTCCTTTATGTGTACTAGTCAACGAAATAAGGAACTTCTAATGGATATTTTAACATCGTCCTAAATTTGCCTTTTGTCAACGTTTCGACCACCCGTCCATATTCATGATAAATTTCGTAATGTCGGCATCGCTCTCGTGTACTTTAACATCTACACACAACATCGGCAAATCTCGCTTTCGGTCATTTCGGCTGCAGCTCTATCCCGAATCCTCTTGTGTCGTATTTATTAAACTTAATACCGTTTTTTTCTCCTCAGCAGTATCTTTATTAAGCCCAGTAGTTTTGAGCAAGAAGAGGCGTGCCAGGCCAAAACTTACCGAAACTTCGAAATCCTGCTTGTTTTCTGCCGATTGAATTTGAAGCCGAACGTAAAATTGTGTTCCATTTGAAAACATTCGCCGTTCTCCACCACCGCTGCGAGCTGGTCTCGATCAAAATGAACACTAGCAACGCAGTCAACCCCACTAGAAGCATAGCTATTAACTACCAGACAAAGAGTTTTCGTTCTTCAGTGGAGTTAAATACCCGTATATATATATATACACCCAGATGTTATGGGTATAACATTTGATATTTTAAATATTTATTGGGAATAGAAAATTATGCTTATACGTGAAATTGTACCTGGTAGCCTGCCCCGTTGCGAAGATCCAGTTGGAACGGACTCTCGTGTTTGTAGCAGAAACCCGAGGTTAGAACATCTCCATTAGCGTCGCATGCTGTCGATCATGCGGAAAACATAATCGTTTCATGTCCTTTTGTCATGGCTTTTTCAATTAATAGCTATTATATATATGAAGTACGTCAACAAGGCAAATCTCACGAAGGTGCTGCTTTCTGTCCTACATACCCCATTTCATGGGAATCAGCTTAAACACTTACGGTGACAGCAAGCGCTGGCGATGTGCTTAAGTTCGACACAAACCGTGGCTCGTGTAACATTTGTGAGACCTTCACAGAAGCCCTTTGAGATAGCGTTGATGTGTACGTTAATAAAAGCCCACACGACGGCGAACGGCGGAATGTAGTTGCATAGGTGAATGGCCAGTTCGATATCCTCGATCCTGAAGTCAAATGGGTTGCCCGGAAACATCGCTGTTTCCAGGTTTATCAAATAAAAAAAAAACAGCCTATATTACGATTTTGTGCTTTTTTTTTTCAAAAACAAACGACAAGCAATTTGTTGATTTTCGAAACGTCACTGCCTTTATTTTCAATCAGATGTTGACACTATTAGCTTAATCTACTGAACATTTTTGCGGCCCATTTATGAGAATGGAACGGAAAAATATCTTCTCGAAAAGCAAAATGAAAATGGATATTATTTTAGATAAACCCATCTTTTGACATTTTAAATGATGGCCGTAGCCAGCAGTTCATTATTTCAGCCTAAAATGAATGTTTAGGAATTGTGTTGTAAGGTCATTATGCGTGATAGGAAAATTTACGTTATTGTATAAGTAGCTTACGATGCTGATAAAACGTACCGATGAAATCCAACATGGCTATAAGTAAGACGATGATTCCACCGCTTATCGAGACTACACCAAGCATCGTTACAAAACCTGTTCCAGGCGCATGGAATAGGTGTGCAGACAGATACGCAATGGGAATCATTGTAAACCCATAGCCGCATAGCAGTACCCATGTAGCGACTAAAAAAGAAAAATGTTTCAAAATGTGTTTTTTCTAATTTTAGACGCATAAATCCACTAAGACTCTTCTTTGCTTTTTGTTTCAGGTGTTCCAAATTGAGATCTCACTATGATATCTCCTTCTAAGAAAGTCTACTTTCTTTAGGAAGTCTACTACTTCGAAATAAAATGCAGTATAGACTAACAATTTCGTTCGCAAATAAGTGTAGCACTATCAATCTATTTGGGAAATTAATCTAACCACTGTACCCACGGTTCAACACGAGATATCTTGATCCGGGAGCATTTGTACAGTAAGGTGTATGACACGATATAGGTAGAGCTGCTTCCAGGTGAAAAGCCAACGCTTGATAACTTCAACAAGGAAAAACGCTTTTCCATTTCGTTGGAAACATAATAACTTAATAATTTGTTAGCAGCTAACACTCACTCCATGTGTCGTTATATGATGTAAATGAGTTCCCAGGGTCGTACGTGACAAAGGCGACGACCATACAGGCTGCCGACAACATCATGATTAGGAAATCGAAGAAAAAGGACGACCCAAAGTAGATTATTCGGTGAATGCCAGACATCATTTGGACCTATCAATATTGAATCGGCAAACAAGACAAAATAGAAAAAAAAAATAAGGCAAATACAAACGACACTACATACACCTACGCAGCAAGCTTTCGTGCGTGCGGGTTCAACGTACCTAGTTGTCGATAGCCAAGCTGGAGGACCTAGCGCTGATTTAAAGTTTAGCTGTTTCAGAATAAGCGCGATTTAATGTAGGCGTAGATTCATCATCATCATAAACGGTACCGTACAACGTGCCCTGGAAATGCGTCTAACCCTTAAACCCGCTCACACTGTATACCTACTACTACTACTACTACCTTTCTGAAAACGCTAATAGTAGGCTTAGAAATAAGCAAGCTAGCTATATCTCAGTTCAGTATACGAAGTTCAAGACAAAAACCCACCAATTTTGCTTTGGACACACATTCTTCAATCGGGAAGAAGATCAAAGAAGAGGTGAGACAAGCGGTTGCCAACGAAATTGGAAAGAACGATGCAAAACGAACTGAAAGAAAGAAGACGCGCAAAAAACGTTTAGTTTTTTGAAATGTTTCACTACAGAATATTAAAGCCACCGACCGTAAAACTACTCGATTCTATTACTTATTTAATAGCAGTCAATCAATGAAAGATTTCAAACAACCGTGGTATAGTCGCCGTGATTACCCTAATAGTGTGTACCATTACCGCTTACCCAGTACTAGCAACAGTATATTGCCTTCTTCAAACGGTTGACCCAATGGTTGATTGCGAACATTCACTGACACCTTTTGCCTTTGTGGCATATTGGCCAGTCGCTGATTTAGGACTGCCGTGTGCCAGCTAGCGAGCGTTGCTCCTCCGATATGGAGTTTTTCCCCGTTAAACCAAAGGATCGTTTCGTTGGACAGCTTGGGGTCCGAGCTAACTCCCATAGACCAGCACTCCTTGTAAAATGAAAGATCGTTGCCGGCTGGAAATAAAAATATGACAAATATTTCTAGAAAATATTTTCAATCGAATAATGGTGGATACAAGAGTTTCGCATACATCCGAAGACACGGGTTATGATTTGATTTTTTCTATTGACCGTTGTCTACCCTTTGTGGCTTTATGCCAACCACTCTTCCATGCTATTGTTCGCTGTTGTCTTCATTTGGATGAAGTTAGTTTCCATATAGCTAGTGTCAGAATACATTTCTCAATTATGTCAAAGTGAAACTCACCCTGTTGAAGCAAATAGGAATCTATGTCAATATTACTTGGAATCCGATGTATTTGAAGTGCGTTGTCTTGCAAGATGGAGGTTATCATATTTATCGAGGGGCTAGTTTCCTGTATAAAGCTCTGCTTAGGTCTGCTAGTCAACAACGAGTTGAACGTGTAGTTCAGTACCTGTATTGTTAATAAAAAAAACAGCTCAGTTAAATCGTTCGACAGAAAATTTGCTTCTACTCTTTGTCATACCTAATTGTCCTTGTTAAGTTTAGACATCTCAGGGTAAAAGTTTGGTTGGCATATTTCAACATGTTTGCCGAATCATGTAACGCTACGATTTTTCTGTGTTTTAACAAAAGGACCTAGATTCGAGATTATCTAGGAGATATATATATATATATATATATATATATATCTCCTAG